CCTTTTTCATGTAAATTCTACTCATGACTGCAAATTCTGCTCTTTGGAAACAAACTGTAAGTCTAATTCAGCAATGCAAATGCCTGGCCATAGCTAATTCCCCTTCAGGGGCAGACTCAAAGGAGCTTTGGCATCAGTCTTAAAGGACTGTAAGCAACAACTTCATTCAAACAGAATTGACAACACAAAATCCATTTACCATTCTGAGTCTAATCCCCCTTTTATGTGACAGTTTTGAACATTTTACTACCACTCTGAAATGTCTTCAAGTACATTATCTCCTTTGAATCAGAATACACCGCTGAGAACTGAAGTAAACATTAAACGTCACTGTCAATTAATAAAGAATACAAAGCTGTGCCGTCCAATATGGTAGCTACTAGCCACATGGGGCTTTTAAGTACTTGATATATGGCTAGTTCAAGCTGAGACATGTACACTTTATAAAGTGCAAAATTCACACCACATTTCAAAGACAGTATAAAAGGATAAAAAATTTCTCATTAATAATTTTTATATTGGTTATACATAAAGTTTTGGATATGTTAAGTAAAAAAATAACTTCATCTGCTTTTCACTTCTCATAATGTGGTTACTACAACATTTAAATTTATATTTGTGGCTCACATTGTATTTCTATTGGACAGCAATGAATTAGCTGCCTTTGGCAGTTTGATCGTTGCTTGGATTCATGGCGAACACCCAGGTGATTAAAAGCCGGAAGTCACAATATTTTAAGACTTCATATTCATCTTTATTAAATTTTAGCTTGTTCAACTTGACCCATTAATTCAATTTATTATATAATATTTGGAATCTGAGTGGAGTCTGACATATAATATGTGCACAAAGAGTATTTGTTAAATGAAGTCTGCCATCCAAAACATGAGGTATCCTCAGCTTCGTGTTCGGTATAAAATGCATGTGTTTGCCTAAGTCAAGCATCCTCATCCAAGTCACAGCAGAGGCCTTAATTCGTTACTGATGACCCTTCGGCTACACTGGGAAACTTTCATTGCTCCTTCTCCCCTCTAAACACAGGACCTTTACAGAAGTTTTGTTATTGCATTGGTTTATGTTTAAACCTCTCCTTGAGGGTAGGATCCTTGTTTTTTTAACATATGTATCATCAGTTCCTCCACCAGATCTGTACTTCATGAATATTTGACAAATACATGACACCAATCAATCAATCAATACTACTACTATCTGGGTTAAATTTCCATCTTATTCCAAAGACCAATATGAGTCTGAAAAATGCTTTGTTTAAGTTCAAATTCACTACATTGACAGTGTTTTTCTACCAGTCTTGGACCGCGGATTGCCTTTCTGACAGGAATTTGGAAATCTTTCAATTCAATTTGCCTTTACTTACTTTTCTCTCAAGACAAGGAGGCATGAAATTGGGTGTTACAGACCTTGAAGGTTCTAATGTGAAAGATTAAGAACAAGGATTAAACAGTGCTTAATTTGATTTAAAAAAAAAAACTTCAAAGGGAAGCAATAATTTATTCTGAATCCCCAAAGGCAAATGATAGACTACAATCCTGTTCAACTGCCTGACCCATGGCTTCAACCTATCTGAACAGCAGCGCAGGGAGAAAAGCCCAGGGCTCAGCAGTGGGGTCTACAGCTTGTGTTTACATTTACTAGTCATACAAATCCCCGAAGTTCTCTAAAGCGGACTGGAGACTCTCTGAGGGCAGAAAAGTTGTTTAACCATATTTCTAGGACTTGGCACAGAGTATAACTTGTGTTCACTACTTGCCAAATTATAAAAATCCAATTCTTTCCTTAGGTGGTTTGGGGATAAGACCCACATTTCCAATCTCACAGGTCTGAGGCTAAACAGAGACAACGCATATGGTCACGAACTGTAACAGACCAATACAAATGTGTTCGCTGTTTCTTTTTTTCTCATTTTATCAATTTCCCTCTTTTGCATCATTTCTCACTCTGCCATCCATTGCCTCTGCCTTTCCTTCTTTTCTCTTTTTTCTCCCTCAGTCTTTCTAGCTGAATATAACCCTGGAAATAAAGGTAATCTTTTTTCAGTATTTTGAGTACTATTCTATGTATTAATTTTGAAATAAAGTAAAAAATTAGTTTCAACTGTAGGGGCTGATTTATTCTCTCGTAAATTAGTAGTTTGCATTAGAAAAATGGTTTTACCTCAGTCTTTGCCAAGAGTATGTTATATGATTTCTCTTAACCATGTGACTTTTTATGACTCTAACCTGGCAGTCCAGCTGAAGCCAGCCTGAGGGTCACTTTTAGCCTAAAAGCTAGAAATTCCTACACCCACCCTCAAAGAAAATGTAGAATAATGTACGCGTTCTTATATTTTGTTCAGAAACTAACAAACCGAAGCCTTTAATTCATACTTTCCCCTTAGGATAAATATGCATGTAGTATAATTTTTTTTACAACTTTATACATTTATTGCACTGTAAAGTGCTAAATTACATTAATGATGTCAAAACACTGTAAAATACTAAACTGCCTCCTGAGTAAAAAGAGGAAATACTATTTATGATGTGTGTGTGTATATAATAAAGCTATTTTAAACCTTTGAAAGCTAATCACTGCCAAATCACTTCACTGATTAACCTTAATTTGAGAAATACTGTTCCATGAATAGTCTGGTAAACAAAAGATTAAGTAGAGATTCCTGGTAGCTGAACCTTCACTGTTCAAAGTCTCTCTTTCATCTAGAACTAGCTTTCTTGTGAGAAAACATGCACTTTTAAATTTAATCACCACAAAGCACTTTTAAATTTGGTGATCAAATAAGGGGCTGTGCCTGAATGTCACCAGTGACCAAGTCAATGACAGCTGAAACATGTTAGGTATTAAATGTGCCAGTTGCCTTCCAGGAACTTCATGTGTACCAACTCTCTAAAGTCTCAGAAAATCCTATTAATTATATGCTAAACTGACTGTTCAACTAATAAGACCCCATGCATTGCATACTCTAGAGCAGGGGTGTCAAACTCATTCTCACCAAGGGCCACATCAGCCTCGTGGTTGCCTTCAAAGGGCCGAATGTAATTTTTACTCCTTAATATTTAAGGAGTAGTTACATTTATACAGTCCTACAATTATTACTCTAACTTGAAAAGTACATGTTCCAATGACCACGTAATTATCGCCACCATATGCAATTAGGTTTCCAGAATCCCTACTGTCAAAGGGATTAAACCATAGTCTTTAAGTATGACAGATTGCATTTCTAGTCATAAGGCAAAAGGGAAGCCTTATTCTCCTTTTTCACCATTTAATTTTTCCATACATCCCAGACATAAATTGTTGGGGAGGTCTCTCTGTAGCTTTTCACACCATTTTTTAAAAAATTCAAATTCAGCATACTTTCAAAGTTTAACAAAAGTTTACCAAAGTCTGCATAAGCTTTCTTACCAGTGAAATACCTTTACTGTCATTCACTGCAGTTTTGTACACTAACCTGAAAAGTACACGTCCCGATGACCACATAATTATTGCCACCATATGCAATTAGGTTTCCAGAATCCCCACTGTCGAAGGGATTAAATTCCACTACGTGCACATAATCTTCACAATCCACAGTGTAGGCTGCATTTCTTGTGGCATCTTGTTTCATCTTGTATGTCAAAGCTTGAGCAATTGTAAAAAATAGCCTTCTACTGGACAAGGTCACAAAACTGTGAATTATAGCACAGACAGAGAGAAAAATGGTCAAAATGTTCCTCACTTGCAGGAAATGATTAAAATAAAAACACGGTATTGCAAATGCCACAAATGGCTCAAAAAATTAAAGTACTTGATTAAACACTTTGTGAATGATATCTGCAGCATAAATCACCATAATTTTGTTTAGATTATTTAAAAGATATAGTACTTGAAAAGGAAATCACTGTAGTATATTTATTAAAAAATTAATGATACTTAACATACAGAGCACTTTTTACGGGAGCCCTGTTAAGCATTTCACTGATATCATCACATGAAATTTTTGCATAAACCTAAGAGGGAGGTGTTATCCATGGTTCCCATTTTTACTGATGAGGAAATCAAGACTTCCGGATGTTAATTAGCTTGCCAAGGTCATAAGACAAGCCAGTAACGAAAACATTACTATGTGTTGGACACCAGTGCCAGAGAAAAACACAGTTCTTGGCTTTGAAGGGGCTCACAGTCCAGGGATACTTATGGTTCAGTGTGAAAAGTGCTATATATAAGCAGACACAAATATAGAATCTGAAAGAAGTACCAAAATATGATATAAAATAATATTCATAAAATCAGGTACAAAACTTCAACTAACCCTTCGTAACCCTGGTGTGCACTCTGAAAGTAGCATTCCCAGATGAGACTTAGGGATTTTAGAGCTCTCCCTCTCTCTTTTTTAAGTGGACGCAGGAGTTATTCTGAAAACTGTTGGGCTCGGTAACAAATACATCAAATACCCGATGAGGCTTTACTGAGAATCAGAAGACCCCCACCCGCCAATAAACTAGTAACCTTACAAGTGGGCATCCGGGACTGGACATTTATCCTAAGGTGACCAGCAGCTGAGATGCCCTCAGAGGCACAACGGTGTGGGAAGTGCAAAAAAATCGCGGTTGGGACACTCATTCTCCCTAGGGCTCTTTAAGTAGTTCCCAGTCTCACTACATTACCAGGGTCTCACGGTACACTGCGGGCTGGAAGGGTATGGGAAGGAGAGAATAAAAGAAGTTCCTGCTAAGAGACCCAACGCAGGTCCGCGGAAACCCCGCTACCACCTCCACGAGCCCGAGGTTCGGGGCAAGTAGGGTGAAGAGCTGGGCTGTCGGTAGCGAAGCGGCACGGGCCCTTGGGCTCCCAGATACGCACCGGAGGGCACTGGGATTCAGCCAGAGAGGAACAGGGTCTCAGTTGGGAACTGCCACCACTCGCTTGGATACTGCTTCCGGGACAGAGGGCAGGAGCAGTGATTGGCTCTCAGGCCCTCCCGCGAGATTTAAAATGTAACCCGCAAGTATTCAAACAGCAGAGAGATTGCTGCTAGGGAGGACCTTCTTTCTGTTGGTCTTCATCTCCCGGGTCACCCCACCACTCCAATCTCTCGAGACAGGTGACTCTTGACACTTCCTCACCTACCTGGTAAGTGGTGATTCAAGCCACGGGCTTTTTAATGACAGAAAAGTGCCTTGTGACCAATTAAAGTATTTGTGCAATGGTTTTGCCCTGGAGCCGGCTGGGTCTGGGTCTTTTCAGCAGAGTTGACAGTATCCAGTAATGGTTGGAGCTGGGAGGCTGAGGTCCACAGGGGACTGCTTAGGTTCCTTAGGCGAGAAAGCAGGGTTCTAGTCCCAAAATCTACGCAGACACCAGTTCTGCTACTTTCGTCCTCTTTCTGTTACATCCTTCTAAGGGACATTTTGGACCTGCATTGCGACAATGATAGCAGCAATGACTGCCAACTTTTTTTTTTATTGAGCACCTACTAAGTGCCAGGCACAAGATGAATTATTTACTTGTCTCCCCACCGCCTCGATTTTATGGATAAGAGATATTCTTCCAATTTTACAGACGAACAAAGATATGCTTATCAGAGATTTTAAATACAGAAGGACATTTCATAAGTGGGAGAGTCTGGACGCAGATCCTAGTCTGTCTGACCACAAAGTGTAGTTTTTTTGATCATCTCATACTGCCTCCCCAGTGACAGTTTCCTGTCTTACAAATTTTGCTCCAGTGCAGCTTGGAATCCAGTCTTTTAAAACAAGTGATTATTATCGCTGCCGCCTTCTACTGTTTTTGTATAGTGCATCCTGACATAAAGAAGGCTTGCATATTTGTTGTCTCATTGACTCCTCCTAACTGGCTGAGAGGTATTACTCCTGTTTTCTATTTGATGATGCTTCTACCTAGGCATTCCGATGTAAACCTTATTGCCTCCACTCACACAGCCAGATAGCTCCTGACAGAGGGGAGACTAGATTAGGGTTGGCAAATGCATGGCTGTGCCTGTTTTTGTGCAGTCAGTTCCCAAGTTAAGAATGAATTTTACTTGTTTAAATGATTGAAAAAAATCAAAAGAAGAATGGTATTTTGTGGTGTGTGAAAATTAATATGAAATTCAAATGTTAGTTTTTGTTAAGTTTTGATGAAGATCATTTGTTCAAGTACTGTTAATGGCTATTTTTACACTGCAAGGTCAGGCTGAGTAATTGTGACCGAGACTGTATGGCCTGTACTCCTCAAATATTTACTATTTGGCCCTTTCCAAAAAGCATGCTGATGCCTGGATGGGCCTGTTGGCTCTTATATGTGCCAGGCACTGTTATAAAAGCTTAATTTATATTTATGTCACTTACTTCTTACAAAACCCCATGAGATAGTAACCATTATTATTTTAACTTGTTAGTACAAAGAAGCTGAGGCAGGGAGAGGTGATGTAACTTGGCAAAGATCTCACAGCTAGTAAGTGGTAAAGCCAGGAATCACGACAGTCTAAATCCAGATTTGTCTTCATTCATAGCAATCTGAACCAAGTACCTTTAAGTAACACTAGCAATAGTAATTTACCATGAAAGATTTATTTCAGGCAAACTGATCATATCACCAGTGTGTTAGTTCTTCACCTTCTTTTTTATTTCTTATAAGAGATGAAGGTGATATTTTAAAGAGGAATATAATTCTTTAGCTATTTACTAGGATTTGTATTTATGTCAATATTTTAATTTAGTCTTATGCCTGTAAATTTAAGTTGCATCACTGATTGTGTCTATCAGTTGTTATTTTGTAAATGACATATACCCATTTCCTTGGTCACAGAAACCCAAGAGACATATTTAATATCTGGGATTATTGTTTATGCCACATTAAACAAAAAAGAAGATCACCAAAGGAGTAAGTAAGTGGGATGAGTACAGTGAAATACTCAAAATAAGCTAATGGCCTGTATGTTGCAGACTGGGGTACTTAAAGTGGGGGGAAGAACCCCCACAAACTTTTAGCAGGCATGTCTGTAAACTTGGAGAAATGAATTGGCTGCTTTATAGAGGCTTAAGTATGTAAACCATTAGAGCTGTATCTAATTATGTTGGGAGGCTTTTGTTTATCAGAAGAAGGTATGTGATATATGTGATATGGGTATCACTTTCTTCAGATGTAAAATGAGGATAATGATAGACTTTCTTCTTAGGTTTCTTGTGAAGATTGAATGAGGTTATAAATATTCAGCTTTTAAAAAGTATTTGGCACCAAGAAAGCTCCTGCACATTAGCTCTTGTGTTGGTTATCTATTGCTGTGTAATAAATCACCCCAGAACTTAGTGGCATTAAAACAACCTATTTGCTTATGATTCTGTGAACCAGCAGTTTGGGCTGGACTCAGCTATGTAGTTCTGTTGGTCTTGCCAGGGATCACTTGTGGCTACAGTTAGTCTGGCAGGTTGAGTGGGACTAGATAGTCTTAAGACAGCCTCTTTGACGTGTCTGTGAATTGATATTAGTTGTCAGTGGAGCACCTTGGTTCTCCTTCATAAGGCCTCTCCAGCAAACTAGCTTGGACTTCTTTACATGGTAGCCTAAGAGTAGCAAGAGAATAGGAGCTGAAGCTTCAAGGTTTTATGTCAGACAGCCCTCAAGACCACCTTCTGGTTGGATGCTTTACTAGGAGAACTCAGAGGACTTGGCATACACTCATACTCATGGTTATAATTTATAATAGTAAAAAGATACTAAGGAAAATAAGCAGAGATAGAATGTGCATGGTGCAAAGTCCAGGGTAGACCAGGAATGGGCTTCCAGAGTGATCTTAGTAAAGTCACACAGGACAAGTTTAATCCCTCCAGCAATAAGTTGTGACAACATATATAAAATGTCCATCAGGAAAATTCTTTACTGACTCAGTGCCCAGGGTTTTTACTGAGGCTGAACATGTAGGCATTTTTGTCTTTGTTCCAAAATTCCCAACTCAGAAGGAACACATGTGTTCAATATAAACTATATTGTTTGTTCAAACAGTTTAGGCACAGTGAGCCACCCTTACTGGAAACCCTCCTGAAATCTAAGTTCCCAGATGCAGCCAAGGGTCTTTCAAAGGATAGCAACCAGGCCTGCTGAATTAACTGTTTTCTGCACTGGCCTTTTGAGGTGTAGGTTTGGAACTCCCATGATGCCATTCTTACTACATTCTGTTGGTCAAATCAAGGCACAAGTCTGACCTAGACTGGAACAGTGGAAAAGTAGACCTTCTCTTTTGGGACAGTGTAACAATGGGAGGGAACTGGCCTTCCCCCTGCCCTGCCCAGCCAAACCTACCCTAGATATTATCATCTATCTCAACACAAATATGTTTAAATACAGTTTTAATGAACTATATGTCTGTAATGGTAAGTTTATAGAATTGGTGTATCTGTTTTGTATAAGTTTTCAAATTGAAGATTGGATTTTATTATTTCAATAGATTTGGCTTAAAAACACTAAAGGAAAGGAAAATATAATTGGGTAGAAATTTGTTTTGGTCTGTTTTCCTAAATTTAATTAAAAGCAATCTTAATAAATATGAAATGACTTCTCATTCATTACTTAGTTTTCTCTAATCTTGCTTGCTTACACAGGTTAAATATGAATTATCACTAAGACTTTTAAAAAATATATTTTATTTATTTATCTTTAGAGGGGAAGGGAAGAAGAGAGAGAGAGAGAGAGAGAGAGAGAAATATCAGTGTGTGGTTGCCTTTCATGCGTCCCCTGCTGGGAACTGGCCTGCAACCCAGACATGTGCCCTGACTGGGAATCAAACCGCAGTTGTTTGGTTCGCAGGCCCGCGCCCAATCCACTGAGCTACACCAGTCAGGGCAAAATAAGGCTTTTTTAAAAAAATAAAATAACGCTTTCTAACATTGTATTCTGTTCTTCTCTAAGACGATGGCTGTGCTTCATCAGAGGTCTGTTTCGGCCATGATTAGGGAGTTCAGGAGGAACTGGCACACCCTGTGTGACTCAGAGAGAACTACTGTGTGCGGTGCGGACGCCATGCTTTTGGCATTGCAGCTCTGCATGGCAGAGAACAGCAGACAGGTTAGTAGACTACATTTAGGTCAACTTTTTCTTACAAGTGGTTGTGGATGCTCCCTCTTTGAATAAACTTTATTATATTTCTTTGCAGTAGATGCCCTGTTATGATAATGTTAATATACTATCTTCACAAATGCTTCTGTATGTCTGTGTCAATAATTACTATTGGATTTGAGATGATTTGTTTCACAGTTAAGGCCTTCATACGTGTAATTTCGCATAAAACATCCCATTCCACGTTTAATTTGAAGTCTTAAGATAAACATGCAACTATTATGGCTAAAAATTGTTTTTATTTTATAAGACTTACTTCTCTAAAAAGACCTGGAAGACACATAGGTAATGTTTATTTAAATATAATTGAAGTATTTTATGAATAACTTAAGACACTAGTATAAATTAATTGTTCCTAAGCCAGGCTATGAAGCAGAATCATTTGGGAGGGCTTTTTAAAAGTATTGGCTACTGTGTGCCCCAATCTTGGCAATTCTGATTGTCTTAATCTGCACTGAGACCCTGGAAATTGTCTTTTTTCAATTTCCCCAAAGTGATTTTTACCTAGTTGGCTTGGGCTAAACTACTGTTTAAAATGAGCTCTACCTAGAGGGCTAGAGGTGTTCACAGGAGAGACGGGTGAACGGAGGTTGGTGTCATCAGGAATTTTAGACAGTACTCTGAAAGGAATGGCAGCCTTTTCATGGCAAGGGTTTAAAGAAGGGTTGAAGGAAGAGGAAAGTTCAGAGGAAGCATATGGGGTGGGGGTGGGGGGATCAAAATAACGATGGCTTGGAGATGGTAGGGAGACTGTCTTGACCAGAGAAGATTTTTGAAGGGTTGGGTTGGTTTTCATGGGTCTCTTGGGCTAGACAGAAATGACACTCTGATGAATTATTTTAATCCTCTATGTCCGTGGTTCCCAGAATTTTAGATTTTATCTGCCAGTAAAATTTCTGAAAGAATTAGACATTGACAGATTTGAACATTTCTCATGTTGGCAGATGAGGCTATTGAGAAAAACTAATTACTAGAACCATCATTTTGAAAAAGGAAGACCATTTTGACACCTAAAAATTAGGAATTGTCTGATCTTAAAATAAGAGGTAGTCTTTCCTATGCATGGGTAGTTGGCAGTTTTGCATATTTAGAACAGTGTACATTAAGATAAGTTTTGAACATAGAAAATTTGGAGAAACTTGTATCTTATGTAGTCATTCTTTGGACAAATACTGAGTTTTTACTATGTGCCAGATGACATTATTCTAAGCATTAGGAATTTGGTACTGAAGGAAATCCCTGCTCTCATGGAATTAATCTTCTAGTCAAGAGTGATAGATAATACTGTAATAAATAAGGTATTTAATGCTTTAAGTTATAATGAGTGCTGCACAGAAGAACAAAACAGAGATCCAAGTAAAGAGTATATGGAGTTTTCGATGGAGGAGTTCTTGCAGTTTGAAATAGGGTGGTCAATGAAGGCCTCATCTAGAAGTTACCATTTGAGCAAAGATTTCAGTGAGTGGAAGGAGGAGCTAGCCATGGGGACTTCGGTGGGAAAGGGCTACCAGGCAAAGGGAACAGCAGGGGCAAGAGCCTTGAGGTGCAAGAGGTCAGATGTCTTGCACGATCCAGGAACAGCAAGCAGGCCCATCCCAGCTGCTATATCAATGTTAATTTCTTCCCTCTCTTCCTGTCTTCCCCAGGTTTCTTTCTTCCTTCCTTTTTCCGCCATCATCCTCTTTATTTCCAAGGACATTTTTTGTTCTTTCTCTTACTTCAAGGATATAATATATTTCTCTTTTGAGATTATTAATAATATTTTGTTGGAGCTTTTTTTGGTATAATATGTTTCCTCTAAATTCCCATTTTGATAGTTTTATTTGAGAAAGATTTCCTTTTCTCCTATTAGAGACTTTCTTCACGATGATCCTTGGCTGTCCCCTCGTGTTTAAGTGAAGCACTAAAGGCTTATTGGAAGTGTTGGGTACAGGGTTAGGGCTTGTCACCCTGATCTGACTGGGCAGTTGGGTTGGGGGGCTTTGATGTCAGTATCTTTAGGACACCCCTTCTGGAACAGTTTCCTCAGAAAAGAGTCTTTTTCCTCCTGCACAAATGGTGTAAAGTCAAGCCGCCAATGTGCTGGGAGCCTGAAAGGTGTGTCACAATTTAGAGTGTGAACAGTCCTGTCACTCCTGAGGTTTTCGTTTGGGTGCGCTCCTTCCCAACTGCACTTGTCAGTCCAGAGACCACTTTCCGCCCTCCAGGAAACAGACCTCCAATTTTCTGCCAAGATAGACGGCTGCTTTCCGCTGTCTCAGCGGAAATAAGCTATTGGTCAAAAATCGAAGTGAAGTTACCCCGAGAGATAAGCACACTACTGAAGCTACTCCAAAAAAAATTGCTTCACAAGCAAGTGTTTCCAACATCACCTTCTGCTGGGCAGATATTTTTTTCCAGGGGACGTACTGAGAGAGTTGGCCTTTGGGGACTTTGGCTTTGTATGCATGGCAGGGTGAGCCGGAGGGCCTCTGATGCAGCTTCCCACCTTGTGCTCAGCTTGTCTCCTAGTCTTTGTGCTCAGGTCTTCTGGAGTGTCAGGGAGTGGTAGATTACAGGGGAATGCAGGCCCCACCATTGCTCACCCCCCTACACTGGCACTTTGTTATCATTCTTGACCTTTTGTCATTTCGCTGATGGACAACTCAGTCATGCTTAAAAAATGCTTTCCTGTTTTCGCCTATAGTTTTAGGCATTTTATACCAGGAGGGGTTTCTCTGCGAATACAGACGCATACGTAATGTGTCTGTTGTTAAATGATAACAGATGGTATGCATTCTTTCTGCACCTTGTTTCTATCACCCAACATTGTTTAGAAGACCTCTTCAGGTACTGACAGAACAGTTTATCTAATTCATTCATTTTATTAGTCATCCTTTGTGTGAGTGATACATTTATTCATGTTTAGACCTTTGGGCTCTTTGAAGTTTTTGGTATTACAAGCACTCTGCACTGAAATTAGACGTTTGTGCACTGAGCCAGAGGCTCTCTAGGCCCCATGCCCAGCAGGTCCCATGATAGATATGAACTGTAATATACTGCTCTTCAACTTGGCTGCTAGAGTTTACATTTATGTTAACAGTGTAGCAGAGTACCATTCCTTTCATCTCTGTCTCCATATTAGGTGTTGTCAAACTGCATTAGAAAAGAGAAAAAGCGGTACCTCATTTTAATTTTTCTGATAACTAGAGCATTTAAACAGCTTTTAAAATGCTTATTTGACCATTTAGGTGTCTTTATTGTAAACTCTCTGTTTATATCCTTTGCTTATTTTGCTATGAGTTGCTTTTGTCTGTTTCTTACTCTTTGGAAGAGGTCTACCTATATTTTAGATGCTCTTTGTTTTATGCTTCGTTGACATCTTCCAATGTGCTCCGTTTTACCCACTTTCATGGGATATGCACCCTTTATGTTGTTTCACCAGTATTCACATACCAGACCTCTCTGCTGAGTCTTGCTTTGGTATGGTCAAGTATCATTGGACATTTTACCCTGACGTTCCATGACTGTCTCATCACTTTTAAAAGTAGAGCACATTGTTTGCTCCGTCAACGTACCTTTCTCCTCATACTCTTAGTCTCAGTGGTATGTATCATTGTTCACTCAGTCACTAAAGCTAGACACCCAGGGGTCAGTCATCACAGGTTCCCTTTCCTTTGTCCCCCAGTGCAATCCATAGGTAAGTCTTGTCGGGATTACTGCTTGAACATTTGGAAAAGTCTGTCCTCCTTCAGTAACCTGCAGAAATGGTATTCAGGTAGATAATAGATTCTGAGGATATTGTATACATGGAATGGGCTAGCTGAAGCTTAAACCTGGTGACTATACACTGGGAAATAAGGAGAGAGAGAGAGATTGAGGCAATTATTAAGAATCACTATCATTTAGTGATTTAGGGCTGTTGTTCTGAAAGCAAACAGAGCATATTCAGATCACTTCCTATTGTTTGTTAACTTGTATATAAACAATTAAAAATAAATAGATCAACAAGCTGAGTCGAATGGAGCGTGAAAAAATTTTAGTTCTCAATTGTAAAAATTTTGACATTAAGATATTCAGTCCAAGTCAGTTTTTCTTCAGGACTTGTCTGTGTAGCACTCAGTCAGGATTTCTTTCTGCTTGTTAATTTTCTACTTGTTAATTCACTTTATTCATTGTGAAACTTCAGACTCTGGGTGGGAAAGGGTGAGTGGTGAATTGCAAGTGAGTTTTTCACAGTTTGTAGAGGTGTGTGTACGTGTGCAGTGGAGATGGGGGTTGCAGTTTAGTTTTATTTTAACTCTCTGTGTACATACTTAGCTTAGGCTTTCCAAGCCGTGCTCAGACTTCCACGTCACTCAGCGACAGGAAACAGCATGTGCATATGTCTGCAGGTGCCATTCATCAGTAGGCTGCGGAACTAAAGGGTGGAGTTGGTTGTTTATATCCTGTACCTATATTTTTCACCGTGTTTGCCATCTAGTTAGGTTTTTAATTCTCTCAGTTTCATTATATGGCAAATATATATGACTTCATTAGGTTGCAAATAATATTTTAGTCTTTCCTTTCTTTGGAATTGGCTTCGTATTTTGACTCTGTCTGGCAGTTTCATTATAAAGGCTATTTTTCACATTAAAAAGCCTTAAGAACATTACAAATGTTCCATTAGAGAAAACAGGCAAAGACATTAGTTTTATAACTTTATAGAAAGCAGTCACAGCACCTGTGGTTGGTTCTCAGCTTTGAAAATGACCTAACAGAGACCCACAGGATGGAACAGGTTTTAAAATTAAGTTATATTTATACACCACTCCTCCCTCAGCAAACAAACTAACAGTTATTTTACTTTGAATAAGAAGGGAAAGGCAACCGACATTTTTATCTACCATTTATAGATGGTGTTTATAACCAAGGAAGCTGACTCAGAAGGATTTCAGTATCTTACTCAACTTCAAACAGCCAATTAATGCTCTTAAGAAGATCTGCTATCTTTTCCCTTTTAATAATAAAAATACCAGTTAGTTAAAGATGTAAACTTTATTTTTTTTAAAGATTTTATTTATTTATCTTTAGAGGGGAAGGGGGGAAGGAGAGAGGGAGAGAAACATCAATGTATGGTTGCCTTTCGTGCGTCCCCTGCTGGGAATTGGCCTGCAGGGAACTGGCCTGCAACCCAAGCATGTGCCCTGACTGGGAATCGAACCGCGATCGTGTGGTTTGCAGGCCCGTGCTCAATCCACTGAGCTACACCAGCCAGGCTAAAGATGTAAACTTTATTTAAAATTTCAAATCATTATAAAAATAACATTGATAAAAATATAAAAAGTTCCCATCTCTGACAAAATGTAACTCTTGCTTTTTTTCATTTTATTCTTGTGAAATAGAATCCTTTTTATGTCCATCAAAGAATTAAATCATTGAACATTTTGAACTTACTTCCTTTACATATTAGCCAGCTGGCATGTTTTCCGAGTAAAACATTTTTTGGTTTGACCACAGACTCTCTCTCAATCAGTTGTCACTGGTTTAAATAATAGAATATACCTTGGTGATAGGCCCCTGATCACGTAAGCTGATATCTGTAGTACATTTTTATTTGGATTTGAAATGTTTTTACAATCCAAGTATAAACACTGTTCATCTTGTCAGATGCCTTTTCTCACAAGATCAAGAACTTGCGGAGTTTAACTAGTTACAGTCAACATATTAGAAATAAGTATACATTTACATTAAGCAAAATCTTAATTTATTTTTACTGTAACTGGTGTTATACCAAAATAGTTTTAAGAATTTTTGAGATAAAACAATTTAGTTTTGAAATGTTAAATAACTGGATGTATTTAACTTAAATGCCATTTGGAGATTTTACAGTGTGTAACTTTTGTGGGACTAGGAAGTAAAATATACAATTTTTTATTCAATGCTGAGAAATTATGAATTGTCTTGTGTTTGGATTATGGATGTAAGGTTTGAGAGTTAATGATTTTTTTTGGTTGTTCACTGAACTAGTTTTGTGAAATATAATTAATTTTTATAACTATGATGTGACAGGTCCCTGCTTTAAGTATAATAAGGACAATAAGGATAATTTTCATAGTTGCTTCATATAGATGAGGAGAGAATCAATTATTTTAAGGCAGTTTGTACATATTGTCTTAAATTTGGATAGTAACTAGAAAATGTGACTGATTTTTGTAAGAAATAAAGAGTTACATTTGAAAGAGTTAGATATGTAGAAATAGTACTACATTATGTGTTTCCATTTGATTTCTTTCTGTTATTCTTCATTGGCTAGATGTGATGTTACAATTTAGTTCAGTGAATTGTAGTTCTATTCAAATATACACCCATCTTTAAATGCAATTAATGGAAAGATCTAGGTGTTAACAGAAACTACTAGTATATTCATGGAGCTTAACCATAGAAGAGAGTAACAATGATACATTTCACTATAGTACATAGGGATACTTAAAAATACTTGTTATTCATCAAGCATGGGAGAGGAGCAGTTAGAGTTTTTTACTGAATTGAGGTTGACATTTTGTGGAGGACACCATTGTTAATATTTGGGATATAAAGTGGGATCAGAATGTAATCAATTAAAAAATACCTTCAAAATAATATACATGTACATATATAGTTTTTATCATAATCCCCCCCCCCCCCCCGCTGCCATCCTCTGCCTCCGTCCACTCTCCACCCTGCCCCCCCCCACCGGCTTCCCAGGAGTCACCACACTGTTGTGCATATCCATGAGTTTTTCCTTATTTTTTCTTTTTTGCTAAATATCTACCCCCCCCCCCCACCACCACACACAGAACTATGTAGATACTGAAGAAGAGAAAAAAAAAGAACAATTTTGCTTGGTAACATCTAGCAGCTTATATTCATAGTAAGAAACCTGAGTATGGCTTTTGAGCTCTTGTTTGCCTACAGTTTGGTGTGTCCCCGACCAGGGAAGAATAAAAATTTCTCTTTGACTGAAGGGTTTTAGCACTGGCATTTTGCTTTCCCTGGAACAGTAAGGAAATGAGACACAATTTTTTAAAAATTTAAATTTTATGATCATATTTGAAAACTAACACTTGGCACAGTGTGTGTGGTATGTGGGAATTCACTATGGCACTGACAGTTTTTTAAATAAGATTTAAAATACATTCGCTAAAAGAACTAATAGGAGCTAAAGACAAGCAGAATCAAATGTTGCCCCAATCCATAGTACTTAAGTACAGGTCTCTGTCCATCTATCTTCCCAATTTGGCTAGGAGAAATTTAGTGAAGTTCAGGGAATAGACAATGTCTATTTGCCAACTTTGTCATGTGTGAACTTGCCATAGTTGTTCAAATTTTATAAAATCATCAAAATCTTTTTTTTATATCTGGTTTTAAAATTATTCCATAGCTCAACTTGGATGTTCTCTTCAAATTCTCAAGAATTTAATACAAAATTGAATTTGTACTTCACATCTCAGGTATAAGTTCATCAGTATCCTGGCATCCAACTTTATCTTTTTGTTTTTGGCATTGTCTCTTTCAGCACAGTGGAGAATTTACAGTCTCTCTCAGCGATGTCTTGTTGGCCTGGAAACACTTATTACATGAGAAATTGAACTTACCAGTTGAAAATACGGAAGTGATTGACCATTATGAGGATATTAGGAGGACTTACGATAGTTTCTTAAAGAATAGTAATATGTTAGATCTGATCGATGTTTATAAAAAGTGTAGTGTTTTGACTTCTGATTGTGAAAATAATGCCAACATATCTGCTGTAAGTATTTTTTAAACAATTCTATTGTAGTCAAATTAAAATGTGATGATTTATTTTTAACTCTGGTGTTAGCATTTATAGTAACTTGATAATGCTTTTCGGATCATGTTAACAATGGAAAACTTAGCTATCTGAAAGCTAGTAATTACTTGAAAGAAATATTTTGGTGGTAAACTTTGTTGAACTTGTATTGTTATTTGGTTGAAATATCAGACTAGCTTTTTATGAGATAAGAAAATTTTTAACAAAGAAATCAATCCCACGCATGATTTCTTTTTGAATTATGTTAATGATAGCTTTTCTATTTTATTTTCTTGGTTTAATGTGCATCTCTTTATTTAGCATATGTTGAGTAAATGATTGCTATGACTTTCTAAGGATTCATAATATTATTTTACTGAGATGGTGTATCATTTTATGAGGACGAGATAATATAACCATTCCCTTTTTTGTACACACATACTCATTATCTTATATTTTTATGGAGTATAAATTTTAAAATTAATGCAGTAGCAATTCTTGACATTTGCTTTTGTCTACAGTAGAATTACTAAACTGTTTTAGAATATATTTGGATATATTTAGTTTGTTTATAAAGTGTTGAAAATATTTTTCTATATCTTACCATTTACTGGGTGTCAATCAAGTAGTAATTAAATAGTGGTAAATTAAATAGTGGTAATCACTAAATAATTTTAGCTATAATTAGAATGTTCACTGTATTTTCTAAGATATTAAATATTTTCTAAATATTTCTATCTGATACTTGGGAATAGTATTTTGGCTGCTTATAATAGAAATCTCCACAATAACAATGGTTTAAGAAAATGGAAGTTTATTTCACTTTTTTATAAAAGATGCCTAACGGTAGACATCCAGGATTGGTATGATACCTCCATGCTTATCAGACACCTAGGAGTTTTCTCATTCTGTTCTCCTTTCTTCTTCCTTGACCTCTACCCTCAAGATTGTCTGTGGTCCAAGGGAGCTGTTATGGCTCCAGGCATCAGACCAGCATTCCCTGTAGCAGGAAGTAGTCAGGGAGCACAGCCCTTTCCTTTTAATGAGACAGAGCTTTTTTGTTCCCATCTCGTTGCTCAGAGCTTAATCATATGGCCACACAAAGATGCTAGGGGGCATGGAGAATGTAGTTGTTATTCTGAATAATCACATACCCAGATAAAAACAGAAGCTGTTTTACTAAGGAACACGTGGAGAATGGATGTTGGTGGGTAGTTGGCTGTCTTTGCCTCATTGAGCTATGATGGAAGCCTTCGCCCTGTTGTAACTTTCTCAAAACACACATGCATCCTTTTACAAACATACTCACACATGCACACTTACAGTACAGGAGGGAACTTGTGAGTAAAGATAGTTGTTTTTATTCTCCCTGGCTATATTTTATTTGCTTGCCTGTAAAGATGGTTTTTGACTACTTTTTTATATAGTTCATTTAGAGAGGCTAATCAAACATAAGTATGCGGTTGTAGGACCAACAAAGATTTGATAGGCCGTGAGAGTATAATCCGCCTGAGGTCTCTGGGCACATTGTTTTCACCTTATCCTTTGCCCCGGTCTAAGTCCTCTAGAAAGTCTTCATTTAAGTGAAACAACTTACAGTATGAGATACATAAGGGTCTACATTTGAGCGAGTTCTGAGTCTCTAGACATCAGCACATCTTCTCTGCAGAACGTCAGGAGTGAAGTGCAAACCTCAAGATGGTAGTATATGAAGTAGAAATTTTCTGTATTTAAACCTGGTAAGACTAATAACTTGATCTCCGATACTCACATTTGCTCTAGGAAGATTTCCAGTGAGGGAGAAATGAGCAGAAAAAAAAATCCCTATATTGAGTTCTCAAAAATGCATGAAATATAATCTACATTTATGCTGAAAGAGTTTAAAGATATGTATCAAAATTCCAAGCAAGGCTGAATTTGAGTCCTGAAGTTTCATAATCCTGATAAAATTTCTTTGTTTCTTATTTATTGCAACCTCAATAAATCAGTAATTAATGAAGATAATTAAGATAGAGGAATTAATGAAGATAAGTAAGATGAAGGTAACATAAGAAAGCTCTGAGACTATGATAATTTGAACAATGCACTTTCTCTTTTAAAAGACTTCCTTACTTGATAATTCTTCTCTTGAGGGACCAGGATGCAGGGCCCATATCAAGCCTAGGCAAGAGCTTGCTTTTCCATGAACTGAGCAGTTAACTGGAGGACAACATCAAAGACCTAGGCACATGTGGTAGATGGTAAGAAGAGTTTGGCAGCCATCAGAGGTCTGGGGACTTCCTGGGGAAGGTCAACAAATGCCTCTGTGCAAGTACCAGGATTCCCTGACTCCAAAGAAGCCCACAAGTAGCTATGTGGATGGGCTTACTGTTACCGAGGCTTCAGAGACCACAGGAGGGCTTTTGCTTGGCTTAAGCATGTGAGTGACAGCCTGTTTGTTTCTCCACTGCTGCTGGGTAAGGAGTGGAGACTGTTTCAACTTGCTTTACTTGTAGACTGTCATACACTTAAGGTACTTCAACAGTCAGAGCTGAGTCCCAAAGAGCCAGTGAAAGAAAGCAACAGCTGCTTCAGGAGTTTCAGCAGCCAGAAAGGATGAGTCAGCCGAGGACACATGCCCAACAAAAGGGTGCTGCTAGAGGAGAATGTCAGCAACAAATAATAAATATTCTAAGAAGTTCAAGGATGCACCTAAATGTAAGACTATCTAATATGTTAGAAAGAAAGAAGAGAAAAAAGTTCCCAAAGCAACAGATAAGTTCAGACCCAAATTAGTGTCTTGAACATCAAATACAATGTACCATATTTTGCCATGTATAATGCGCTTCTGTGTATAATGTACCGCCACAGTTTTGGCTCAAACTTTCAGGGAAAAAATAATTTTAATTATTAATTAATTAATTAATTATTTTTAAAAAGATTTTATTTATTTTTCTTTAGAGGGGAAGGGAAGGAGAGAGGGAGAGAAACCTCAATGTATGGTTGCCTTTCATGCGTCCCCTGCTGAAAACTGGCCTGCAACCCGGGCATGTGCCCTGACTGGGAATCGAGCCGTGGTTGTTTGGTTCGCATGCCCGAGCTCAATCCACTGAGCTATAGCAGCCGGGGCTCATTCATTTATTTATTTGTATTTAGATACTTTTTTTTATATTGTAAAGGGATCTTAGCATTTATTTTTAAACATATTGTGCTACAAGAAATTTTATGTAACAAATAATTACAGAACACAAGAACAGATACAAGATATTTCAGGTACTACCCATGTATAATGCACATCCTTATTTTTCCCTCAAAAATTTGGGTAAAAAGTACACATTAAACATGGCAAAATACAGTAAATATTTAAAGCACAGGGGGGAAAAGTCTGAAGATAAAGAAATCACGAGGAAGAAGTTAAGAAACTTGGAGTTAAATCTAGAGGACTCAGTGTGCAAAAGATAGGCAGAAAAAGGAACAGATGTACAAGAGGCTGTGATTAAATAAATAATACTTTATTATAACTACATTTGTTGTAATAAATATTTCCCTGAGTGCTGATTGAGTGCTTACAAAATTACAGGTGGTAAAAAGACATGTACTTAGGCATAATTTGTAAAACTTCTGAACTTTTAAGGATAAAGAAAAATATAAGTTTCCTGACAGAACAAGCTACTTAATAAAGATCAAACAATTAAATGGCCTGTACTGAATGAAGAGGACAGTGACCTAAGCATCTGGTTGAGAAAACTATTAAACATCATAGTTGGGGTTAAGTAGCAGGCATTACTCCTTTAAAATAGTGATAGAGAAATATGGGTCTGAGTTGAGTACAGAGAAAATGAAGGTAACCATTAATGGGATAGAAAAATATAGTATGTTTTCTTTAAAAATTTAAAAAAAATGTTTTGTTCAATTACAGTTGTCCCCATTTCCCCCCCATTACTGTCCCCTGCCCTACCCACCTCCTGCCTCCCACATTCAATCCTCCCCCAACCCCCATTGTTCTTGTCCATGGGTCCTATATGTATGTTCCTTGAATTGACTCTTCCCCCTAGTTTCCCCCATTATGTCCCTCCCACTTCCCTCTGGTTACTGCCAGTTTGTTTTTTATTTCCATGACTGGTTCTATTTTGCTTGCTTATTTGTTTTCTTGATTAGGTTCCACTTATAGGTAAGATCATATGGTATTTGTCCTTCACCGCCTGGCTTATTTCACATAGCATAGTCCTCTCCAGTTCCATCCATGCTGTCTCAAAGGGCAGGAGCTCCTTCTTTCTGCTGTGTAGTATTTCACTGGGTAAATGTACCACAGGTTTTTGATCCACTCATTTATATAGTACATTTTCTAAGTTAATAGGATAAAAATAGAATGAGTAGTAACTTATCAAATCAGCAAAAGTACAAAATCTGTCAAATTAATAGTATATTACAGCAAACACATATATTGCAATTTTTATGCTTACCTCAGAAAGCTTTATGGTGTATTATTGAGTCCTTGTCAAATCTTTAAGTCTAGGAAACTTTTTTACAATCTTAAAAACTTATTTAGAACTTTAAGGAGGTTTTGTTTATGTAGGTTATATCTGTTGGTGTTTGCCATATTAAAAATTAAAATTGAGATGTGTTTAAAATATTCATCAGTTTAAAATATTCATCACCAAGTTATTTAAAATGCTGATAATAAACCTATTAATGTTAATATAATAACATTGTGTGAAGAATAACTGTATTTTTCAAAAATAAGAAAAATTGTGAGAATAGTGACATTTTTTACATTTTTACAAATATCTTTAATGTCATGCATGATGGAAATAGCTGGATTCTTATATCTACTTCTGTTTGATATATCATTTTGACTCAAGTGTATTGAGAAAATTGAGCTAGGAAAGGGAGGGCCTTTCCCTATACATAGCTGGGAAAGGGAGGGCCTCCTGGATCATCTTAGGGACCTCAGTTTGGACCATTTGGGGCCCACAGAACTGATCTAGAATAATGGGCTTTACATGTTATTAAATATGAAAACAGTTTCTGACAAAAGGTAATATTCTACCATTTAGAAGCATAATATTTTGTTTATAGAAAAATAAATCTTTGCTTTCAACATCTCTTTTTTAAAAATCAGAACCACAAGTATGAGGACTTCCTCTAGTCAAAAATTTGTTAAATTATAAGTTAATATTTTTGCAATCTTGAATTTTGAGATTAAGCATTGTATATATTATGAAAAACAACCTCGTAGGCTTTCCAGTCTTTTTTTCTTTTACGATAAACTCTTCATGAGTTCATCATATCAATATCATTGTGGCAAATGCTCTTTTTAATATGTATTGGTGAGTTATTTTAGTTATAACTTTGCAATATGTGAGAGGAAAAGTGGTTTGCAATGTCATTGAGCTTTGTTAATTTGGTTTGTACCTTCGCCCTGGCTTATTCTTCAGGAATGGTGTGTGTGTGTGTGTGTGTGTGTGTGTATGCAAGATACTTTAGAATAAATGAAATAACATGGCGATGTTGAGTAGGATGGGCGGGTGAAGGCAAATATCTCTATAAATGTTTTCTTGGAAACTATTTCTTAGTGTACTGCTTCGGCCACTAGATTTACTTATATATTCCTTTTTTTTTTTTCTTTTTTTTTAAATTTATTTTTTAAAATTGATTATGCTGTTACAGTTGTTCTATTCCCCCCTTCATTCCCCTCCACCCTGCCCCCCCATCCCCACCATTACCCCCCTTTAGTTTATGTCCATGTGTCTCAAGTCCTTTAGGTTCTATATTTCCCATGCTATTCTTGCCCCCCCCCCCCGCATCTATTTTCTATCCACTGTCTATGCTACTTATTTTCTGTACCTTCTCCCCCCATCTCCTCCTCCCACTCCCCTGTTGCTAACCCTCCTTGAGATCTTCATTTCTATGTTTCCACTCCTGATCTAGCTGTTCTTTTAGTTTGCTTTCGTTTTAGGTGTGGTTGTTAATAACTGTGAGCTTGTTGTTCTTTCACTGTTCATGTTTCTTTAACTTCTTTTTCTTAGATAAGTCCCTTTAACATTTCATATAATAAGGGCTTGGTGATGATGAACTCCTTGAATTTGATCTTATCTGAGAAGCACCTTATCTGTCCTTCCATTCTAAATGAAAGTTTTGCTGGATAGAGCAATCTTGGTTGTAGGTCTTTAGATTTCATGACTTGGAATATTTCTTTCCAGCCCCTTCTTGCCTGTAAGATCTCTTTTGAGAAATCTGCTGACAGTCTGATGGGGACTCCTTTGTAGGTGATTGTCCCCTTAGCTCTTGCTGCTTCTAGGATTCTCTCCTTCATTTTAATTTTGGCTAATGTAATTATGATATGCCTTGGTGTGTTTCTTCTTGAGTCCAACTTTTTTGGTACTCTCTGAGCTTCTTGGATTTCTTGGAAGTCTATTTCCTTTGCCAGATTGGGGAAATTTTCTTTTATTATTTGTTCAAATAATTTTTCCACTGGTGGTTGTGTCTTTCCCCCTTCTGGTACCCCTATAATTCGGATATTGGAGCGTTTAAAGATGTCCTGGAGGTTCCTAAGACTCTCCTCATTTCTTTGAATTCTTGCTTCTTGACTCTTTTCTGTTTGGCCATTATTTGCTTTCTTCTGGTCCACTCCATTGATTTGAGTCCCAGTTTCCTTTTCATCTCTATGGGTTTTCTGTGGAATTCCATTCATTTCCCTTAGTTTAGCCTTCATATGTTTCTCTAATTTGTGGCTATAATCAACCAGATCTGTTAGGAACCTGATGACCAGTGTTTTAAACTGTGCGCCTGAGAGTTTTGCTATTTCTTCATCGCTTAGATTTATCTCTGGGGCTTTGAGGTCTTCCTGCGACATTTTTGGTCTGTTCAGGCCCTTTAAATGTGAGAAGCGGCGCCTTGGACTCCCAGGTCGCTGGGTTGTGACGCTGTATGTGGGGGCGTGGTCAGAGCGGGGATATGGCGGCGCCCTCTACTGCCGCAAGCCACGGGGACCGCCTCCCGGTCCAAGCGCCCACTCCCCCGCCTGTCCGCTCGCCCACAGATAGGCAACCGCAGTCAACACGCAGCACCGCCTCCCCACTGTCTCCTCAGCAGTCGCTCACCCAGTGGGTTGCTCGGTCGCTCACTAGGTCCAGTCCTGGGTTTGGAACCCGTGCGTCTGGATTCGCGCGTCTGGATTCCGTGCCTGGGTCCGTCCGACCGGAGTCCTCCTGTGCAACCCCTCACGAGATGCCGGTTTCGCCGCTTACCGGTCGAGCTGAAGAATTTGTTGTTGCCGGACTTCCGAAAAGTTCAATTTTCCGTGTTCTGGTTGTGTTTTCTGATGCTCATATTTAGTTGTCCCTAAACTTGGTTGTGTGAGAAGGCACGGCACATCCACCTATACCTCCATCTTGGCGGAAGTCCTATATATTCCAAATGCAACATTTACTGTGGGCCTCAGGCAAGACTTTTCTGTCTCTTCTTCTTCTTCCATAAAAAATAAAAGGCTAAGATTAAATTTCCAAGGTTATCTTTTAACTGTAAACTTGTAAAACTCTGTGAGTACAGGTGGCAGTAGGAATTAATTGAAGCATTTTGTTGGGAAGTGTAAGACCATGTTATTGACTGCCAGCAAAGGTCAGGTAATGCACTGTGTACTGGAATATCAGTAATAGTGAGTAGAACCAAATATGAAATATTTTTTAGAGTTGGCATAGCATTCTATTAGTAAAATATCCTGTATTTCCTACAGAGTCAACTATGGGATTTTCTGTCCGGCAGACAGTCTGCAGTAGATGATGAAACTGGTCTTTTTGTACCTCCATCACCAATGAGTGAACACAGTCAGGATAGTGAAAAGGTGAGTTGTGAGCAGAGTAAAGCCCGATGGGATCCCTTCAAGTGACTAGGAATTTGATTGTGCACACAGTTACTATTTTAAAAAAATTTTGAAGTTTTTTATTTGATTAAATAAAACCATTTGCAAAGAGTAATACGTTGAAGACTGGTTGAAAGCATATCAATCAGTTATTTCATGGTTTTGGGCCAAGTTAACCTGTGCTATGCGAGAAGAGGTATCACCCTAAGTATCAGAAAAATGGTTGAAAGTCCAGAGTTTTTTGAATCTTTATATAATGTCCCTTGGTAACTGGGGGTATTGGGTCCAGGATCCCCCTGTGATATGAAAATCCACAGATGCTTAAGTCCCTTATATAAAATAATGTACATAGTATTTGCAAATAACCTATAGACATCCTCTTGTATACTTTAAATATCTCTAGATTACTTGTAACCCCTCATACAATGTAAATACTGTGTAAATATTTGTTATACTATGTTGTTTAGGGAACAATGATAAGAAAAAAATCCATATATATATATATATATATGTATATATATATATTCAGTACAGATACAGTCATCGTAGGCCTGACTACATAGTACATATCAGCAATGGCGTAACTTTTTTTTTGTTTCCAATATTTTCAATCTGTGGTTGGTTGAACCCACAGTTGCGGAACCCATAGATTCAGAGGGCTGACTGTGTTTGGTAAACTTCACAGTTCCTGTTTTCTATGGTTGCTTCTAAAGAAGATGTGTACAACTGGAAAATCTGTTCCGTAGCCTCTGCAGTAGAATGCTGGGGAATCGTGAGTTCTGATAACAGGGTTTGGTGTGAGAGCTTAGCACAGAAAACTAGTGCCAAGTGTAGGTTTGGTCTAATACAATTTACCTTCGGCTGGGAAAGGTAGGTGCCAAATTAAATGCAGTAACCCCTCACTAACCATGAGAGTTATGTTTATGAAATTTTTATGGTTAATAAAACCATTGACAAGATGAGATTTCACGAGTATTGGAAAAAGCATAAAATGACATTCAGTATTTCTAAAAATACAGTATATGAAAGGCTTAGAATATGCCTGTTTCCAAATCCAATTGCTCTAGTAAGTTAACACATTTGATGAATCACCTTCTTTGTTTTTCAAGAAACACTGTTAAACAGATTTTCTCATAAGTCCCATGCTACACAGATAACACTTTTAAAAATATATTTTATCACTGCCCTCAAATAGATACCTGTATACCTACATCCCAGACTTAGAAATTCACTGCATATCTGCATCTGATATTTTTTCTGTTCTGTATGAAAGTTAAGTTGCTGATATGACACTTAATCTGTACTAACAGATGCTGTGCTAAAAATCTCTTCAGCAAATCATTTCCTAAAAATTTGGGCATAACCACAATATCATTATCATATATAAGAAAACTTAAGTATTCCCTGATGTCGTTTGCTTTCTTTCCTAGTCACAGTTCTCCATTTGTCCCCTAAGTGGGTTTTATATCTTTTTAGATTCTTCCTCTAGAATTCCCCTCAGCCTTTTTGTTTCATGTTTTATTCATCTGATTAATTCCTACTGGTATTATTTAACTAGTTTCTCTATTTCCAATAAACCTGGAGTTACATCTGAAAGCTTGTTCAGATTAAGGTTTAACATTTCTTAACAAATACTTCATAACTGATGCCGAGTATCTCCTTTTGTACCGTATCAGGAGACACAAACTCAAGTTGCCTTGAATTATCTGGTCTTTCCAGTGTGAAGGAGTGCTTCTCCCTTTGCTGTCAGCGGAGGTCTGTGGGGTGATACTGTGACACTGTGGGATGTCCTGTGTCCCAGCCACCTTTCATCAAATGGTTTTAAGCCTGTATTCATTGATCATGCCGGTCTGAATCAGTCATTCCTTTAGAGTTTGCAGAATGGCGAGTTTCTAACTATGTCTTGTCTTCACGTTAATTAGCTGTCACTTCTCAGTAAAGAAGAGCTTTTATCAACTGGGATGAATGAAGTACAGTTCCCTAAAAATGGCAGGATCACTGCTTAATTCTTTCTCTTTAATTACCAGTTACAGGAAGCAAATTAGATATTCTTTTCTATGTATCTTTTTCCTTTTTTATGTGTGTATATATTGCTGAGGACTCATGGAGTTTTATTTACTTAGAGTTTTAAAATTAATTACAGTCATTAATCTTTGTTGCTAAAATAGAAGGATCCCCTTCAGGCTGCCTTCTGTAACTTTCTTTCATGCCCTGTTACATATCAAGCACGTCCTCCTTTTTGGTACAATAAAATTGCCCAAATCCTATTTTCTCTTGCTTGAAAATAATTTGAAATTAATTTTTTATTTAAATTCTGCTTGTTTTTTTCTCTTGCCCTAAATATCGACAAAACAGGGCAATTTTACCTGGTTTCTTCTCAGTGACATGGAGAGGGTAGATAGTTTAGAATCTATTCTTTTTGATCTATCTTACAAGCTTTACAGGGAGGAAACAATTATTGTTATTGTGACTTTTAATCAAGAGTAATGAACTAATTTGTACATGTAAAATGACCTAAACTTATAGCGTTTCGGCTTACGGATATAAAACATTATTTCACAGATACACCTGTGGAAAGGGGTTAGAGTTTAGAGAAACCGGTGGGTCTTTGTTATAAGTACATAGTTCTCTCATTTAGAAAGTAATGATAGTCTCATTGTGTTAATGCCTCTGCTTTTATCTTTTGCTTACTTGGGTTTATTTTCTAGGAGTATTTTACCTACTAGTTAGCTGATGGATTAGATTTTATGAGGGCTATTAAAGTAGCAGCCATCCTCTAAAGCCATTTTCCTGTACTTGCAGACTTCTAATTTTTCCTTTTACAAAGTATTTTTGGAAGGCAATATATTTCTTTTAAAATTCCAAAGTAACTTTTTGGGCTGCAGTCTTGCAGCGATTTATTTTTATCACCAACTGTGCTTACTAATGCCACATGAGAGTCCTCAAGTGGATGAATGGCATGAATTTGAGAAACAATGTTTCTGTGTCTTTCTTTTATTTTACTTCATTTTATTTTTCTTAAGGTACTAAACTGTTGTTTTAGAAATTCTGAAGTAATGAAGGGAAAAATACAATAAAGACCCCCAAAGAAATCATCAGTTAAATAAAAAATGTTACCAGTATATTATCTCTAGTCTTACTTTTTTTTCCCTGGTCATTATATGTAATAATTTATATGTTGGCAATGAAAGTAAAAAATACCTGTATAAATTATTACTTTTCTTAATTTAGAAAGACTGTCAACATGAGATTGAATATCTGCACTTCAGTAATAATTAGGGGATAGCAAAAGAAACTTGGAATTTTCAGAAAGCTTGAAATTGTTCACCTTCTAAACAAACATTACAAATACTTTGTGGTATGGATAGAATCAGGTTATTAAACAAATAAACAGAACGGTATCTTTATGTTCGGTATCTTAGTGAGAACTTCAGCCTTGTGGAGTTTTTTAATTTAGGCCCTTGCTTCTGGACATCATAACTGTATTTATGTGGAATGCTTTTCCAGAGAACCTCTTTAAAACCCTCTTGCAAATATAAGAGCAGGGAAACCATAACTGCCATGTTATCTGACCATAATGATAGGGACAGATTTCTAATTACAGCCATGAGTTAAAAGCAACACTCTGACTGTGAGGACTCCAAGCTGTTTTTCCCCAATGTTTGACCAGTATCAGAAGGACAAAATTTGCTAGTCTTGAAGAGCACGTTGTAGATGTGGGAGTTTAAGACCTGGTTTTGTACTCATGAAGGGTCCAGATATACATGGACTGGTAAATCCTAATTATTTTGTGACAGTGAAACTAAATGTAGTTTTAAGAAATTAAATGTAGAAAAAGTAAAAAAGTTTCTGAGTACGGTGTGAATATCACTGTTTCTCTGTCTTGATTTTTGGGAAATTGTGTTACTTTTCCCACTGTCAAAAAGATAGAGAGGGTATGGTTAAGACATACTATTGCACCGTGAAGTTAAATGGAATTTTTTGTACTGTAGAGTCATGTGAAGTATTGTGATTTACGATGAAAGATATAAGGACATTTGAAGTATAAGTAGAAAACTATGTTATATATTTAGTTTATAAAAGTTTAAGACATCTTAAAGATGATTTTAATTTAATTGTACCGTAAAATATTTTTCTTTTTAAGACAATTTAATAAAAATATATTACCACTTATTTGATCCCACATAAGTTTTTTTATACATAGCTTCAATTTTGAAATGTCTAAAAGGGCCAAATACATGTATTAATTTTTCTTTCATTCATCATTGAATAGAAACTGATTGAGAGCCTATTAACAAAATGGATAGATTTTCTAATATCATGTCGGTCATTCTTTTATGCCCTAAGGATACATCATTTGCTCTCAAGGAAACTCATATAGTAATAGAAATATTAAGAAAATAAATAAAGTATCAGAAATTGTCTATCTATGCAGAGAATTATATAACTGACTCATATGCGGAGTTGTAACAGGGTGAATGGCAATCTACTTTACGTAAGGAAATTAGGGAGTCTCTCTGGAGAGGTAATAAATGCTAATGTCTTTAATATTTAAGAAAAAAAGTTTGAGTTAATATTTGGACTTCTTTTAATCAATTTTGCTTGAATTATATTTTAAGTCTGTATTTAAGGTAACCTTATTCTGCCTAAGGAGGTTTCTAAAAATTAGACCTGACTTGCTCTCATAATTCAAGAATTGTTTTTCACATAAAATTTAAATAATTCAAAAGGGTACTATCTTTAAAAGTGCTTTAAGATGTATATGAACTTGAGATGTCCTTAATAATTATCTAAGAAACCTCTTAAAGAGTTGCAATTTTTTATTGCTGTTTCACTGTCTTTCTGTCCTATTTTATCAATTGACCTTGAAGAACACATACAATGTATATGAAAGAAACGATGCCCGTATCAAATGCTCTCAGACCTTATGTATCTTGTCCTGGTCTATAGCTCTGTTTTGGCCAAGTTAACATCAACATCAACTATTTGCCACTATTTGCTTAGCATTTGCTTGAATCTTTTAATTTTATTACTTAATTGGTTATTTGGTATTGTCAAAATCAGTGTCTTCATAGTTCTCCAAAAGCTTAACCATGTAATTTTAGTCCTGTAAGGGACATAGGGACCAATGGTGCCCTGGACCCATGCCCTAGGTCTCAGGGAACACTGTAATTGGCTGTTGCTTAGTGGCAGATGTGTGTGGGGGAATGAGATCAGGCCTCATCAGAAATGCAGGCGGACTTTGGATTGTATCTTTTATTTCATTTTCTAAGAGCCATTTTCCAATAATTATGGTAATTAGTATTTACCCATAGCTTTTTATGGCAGCAAGTCAGCTCTATGAGCAAGGCTATGTTAATTGTCCAACCTAAACTTTCAGTTTATTTGGTGATTCTTTTTCCCAAAGGTCTGAGTGAGATAATTGTCATTGAATGATCATCAATGTTTTTACTGCATATAAAATAATCGGGGATTTAGAACTTCAATGAAAAAGAATATTTTATTGTGCAGGTGAAGTTACTAGCAAAGAAAACGATCTACTCATATTTAAATCTGCTGGTGAATTCCAAGAATGACCTGGCTCTGGCTCACATTCTCAATGTTCCTGACAGAGGCCTGGGGAGAGAAGCCTTCACGGATCTGAAGCGTGCTGCTCGAGAGAAACAGATGTCTATGTTTCTGGTATGGATGTGTTACATTTTTAAGGTTTTAAAAATAAAAGCCCTTTGAACATTGGATCCAGGTATCTTAATGGAGAATTCTTATAACTATGATAAAATAGCTTTTAAATTATTACTGTATATATCCTACCTCCATATTTGAAAATCCATAGTATTTTTATTTTTTGTCATATCCTTTAAATTTGGCAAGGGAGACTTTCTGCAAAGAGTGTTTTCCTACATGTATTCTGTACAGCGCTAGCCAAAGGCAAAAGGCCCCTGTTAAATGCTTCTTGAGTAAATGTTTCCAAGAGCAAAATGTTTGGAAATGTATGTATCTTTATTAGATATACATAAATTCATTTTGTTTATCAAAAGCTTTGAGAAGTCCTGCTCTAAAAATATCTGCTTAAGTTAATCTTGTTATTTAATCTGTTGTTTCCTAAGTTGTTTTACTGTGGGAAATTTCAAATGCTATTGAAATTTCATAGCATTTGTCTTTCTAAAGATGCACCCTGGAAAATACTGCTTTAGAATATTTCTTTGGCAGAGATACTTTTATATATAACCGTCATTTGTGTATTGTTATCATTGTAAAGGCAAGGCCTTTTGAACTGCACATGATCAAATTCCACAATCTTAGGATGTGAAACTAGATGGGATTTAGGGATTATCTAGTCTAAATCTTTATTTTACAAATAAAGAAGCTGTGGCTTGGAAGAGTTGAATTAATTGCCCACCCTTGAATAAACCAACACAGTTGGCTCCAAAAACCCCTTCGTTCAGTGCAACAATTCTGGTAGCTATTAAATCTGTGTAAGAATATGTTCATAAACCAATTCTTTATACTCAGTGACACACTCTTATGAACATACTATGCCCTTAATTTGTCCCCTAACCTTTGCTGGCACGAATTCTGCATGGCGCCTGCTTCTTTGATTATTTGCTTCTCAATCAAAGTGTGTTTTGAGTCACAAACATACTTCACTTGTATATAACCAGAACTATGTAAATGAACCCGGCTTCATAAAGTAAATGTAGTTTTAACTTACTAAATCATTAAATGTAACTAAATCATTTGTTTCAATTCACAGGTGGCCACATCATTTATTAGAACACTAGAGCTTGGAGGGAAAGGATATGCACCATCACCTTCCGATCCTCTAAGGACACATGTAAAAGGATTGTCTAATTTCATTAATTTCATTGACAAATTAGATGAGATTCTTGGAGAGATATCAAATCCAAGGTAAATGACTTTTCATAAATTACAAATGTGCATTATTACTCTATCTTTAAAACTTCACAGAATCAAGGTAGGAGTACAGGAGCTATTGAAATGACCAATCATCAGACCAAATAGTAGGGAGAAGAAAAATATCTAGATTAATGAAATATAATCATGTGAATTTTCCCCCCAAAGTTTTGCTTCCCTGTGATTCCAAAATTTTTGTCAAAGTCTCAAGACATGTTCAAATTAAATTTGTTTAGAGAAAAGGGTTTTTACCATTTGTCTTTATCTGGAAGAAATTGATTTTTTTAGGATTAGAAGTTACCTAATAGATCATTTCTTTCAGCTTTTAGTTTAGCAATAAAGAAATCCCATATAGATAGAAGAGGGTATAGGCGGGATAAATGGTAATGAAAAAAATACAAAATATTTTTCAAAAAAAGACTGAATAAGAAAATTGTTGAAGATATTATGAATTCTCTGTTCTATTTTCTGCTAGTTTTTTTCATTTTCTTATGCATAAATCTTTACTTCATGTGAAATTTGTGTTTATGTGATAGTGGAAGTAAGAGATTGTATTTATAACTTGACAGGTTCATTTATAATATAGCTATATAGGATGATTAGTAATTTTTAGATTAATTTCAGGGGCCGAGGTGAGCTGTATATAATAGCAATTGTATTGTAGTATATCACTGTCAATTTAGAAATGGTCAATATTTACTACGTATTTATTATGTCAGAAATTATACTAAGCTCTTTATGGGGATTATCATTTGATTATTTACAACAGTATGTGACAGGTACCCAATTGAGAATCAGATACACTGGGATTAAGTAATTTACCCCAGTCACATGGTCGTTAAGTAGCAGTGCTAGGATCTGAGGTCAGCCGGTTCTGACCCTGGAACCATTCCCTTAATCACTGCATCCTGGTCCATGAAACTTCTTTCCATTCCAAGATTCTAGGAAGAATTTTTTCAGGATTTTATTCTGAACTACATCCTTCTTCCTTTTTTCCATGGATATCCAACGTAAGGAAGTAAGTATCAGTGACATCTTCTGAACTCCCAGATAATGGCTGATCACTTCTTCTGAGGTGGCTCAGAATTAACTTTTAAAAATATTTTATTTTTAGCAAAGCAATATGCATATATTTTGGTAAAGTCAGATGATACTACAGACTTGTAATAAAAACACCCAAATCTTTTTTTGTGTGTTTGTTTTCTATTTGCCTCACTTAAATGAAATTTCAACGCAGCTAATTTTGATTTTTTTCAGTTGTGGCTGTTATCTATTAACTTTCTGTCATGGGAGATGAGAATTTGCAACCCACTCAACCAGCCTCCCTACACTCCTTCCCACCGGACACAACAATACTTCTCTTTCTTCATATTTCTAATCTAGTTATGCCATAATTTCAGGTTAAATCATTCGTTTATTGTATTATGACTCTATAAATATTGTCTATAGCTAAACTTTGTGATATACCATGATTTTACTTTTTTGTTCAAATTATAATTTTTTCATCTACTTTAAATTTTGTTTTAGTTACCTACTTTTTTCTCTCCTTTATCATCAATTCTTTTATCAACCTTATCAACAAAACTATATCATTTCTTCTTAACATTAGGTCATGTATTGGTTCTGATTTTTGCCCTCGAAGACATTCTTTCTGGACAGTCCTCAATCATATTTGTTCAACCTGTGCTTTGCTTGGCAGGCCTGTTTCAGAGTGGTAGCCATGAAGGTTCTTCAACACCTCGTGAGTTTTCTTTGCCTCTGCCTTGCTTTCTGGATCTCATGACTTTAATTGGTAAACTATTTGTTCAAATAGCTTTGTAAGAAAAAGTAAGTGTGAGACAAATATATTTATTTTACATATTTAAAAAATGTAATTACAGTTTCCATTCAGTATTTTAGTCTCAGATGTACAGCATAGTGTTTAGACAATCATATACTTTACCAAGTGGTTTTCCCTGTGTTTTAAGTCCCCACCTGGCACTGTACACAGTTATTGCAATATCATTGACTGTATTCCCTTTGCTTTCCCAGGATTGTTTTGTAACTTCCAGTGTGTAGTTCTCAGTCCTTTTATCTTTTTCACCCAAGCTCCCAACTCCCCTCCCCTCTGGCAACTGTCAGTCTGCGTATCTCTCTCTGAGTCTCTTGCACTTTTACTTGTTCATTTATGACAAATATCTTTATTCTGTTCTCACCTTTCATTGTAGGTGATCTTATCATGTTTCATTTATCTAAGATTATTATCTTTAATTTTTAATATTATTTTTATTTGCTTCCTGGATGATCATTGTTTTTATCTAAGTTGATAAAAATTAGTTTTTGTTTGATTTTGCCTTGTTTCATGTTAGAGGAGTCCCTAAAATGTATGGTAATTCTGGACTTTTCATATTTAATGAGGTCTCATAAAGCTGCTTAGCAGCTCTGCAGTGGACTTCATTAGCTTGGCAACCATTTGGCTTTTTTGTTTGGGATTCTCCAAAAGTCAATAACTATACCTTTTTTCTTTGTGACTTTCCCAAAAATGTCTGTGGAGGAGGTATCCTTTAGTCTCTTTCTGAAAGTTGTAAGTCTGGCTAGTAACATTCTGGTATTTGAGGTAAGGTGGATGCTGAGTCTTCCAGTTTGGCACGTAGACACTCAATCCCTCTGTTTTCAGTTTCTGGTGCCTCTGGGTCTAGAGCCTCTGGCGTAGTTTCTGCAGAGCGCCCCTGCTTTTCGTGCCGAGGCGAGAGGAGTGCACTAGCCTGATTTGTCAGAGGAGAGGAGGTTTAGGGTCTGAACGTTATGTACACTTTGAACCAAGTTTCTTATTTGCAACTCCGCCTTTACCGTAGTCTTCAGTATTGCCTTCAATTTCTGAGGATTTCTGAGCTTGCTTCTTATTGGTGTTTCAGCAGTTTCTTAGTTTTCAGCGTTTTCTGTTCTGTGGAGTCAGTTACCGCTTGTCCATCTGCTTTTCATTTTCCATGCTTTCACGATGTGTCTCTGCTATCATTGGGTGTTGTCTCCTCTCCCGTTTTCTTTTTCTTTATGTATTTAACAACTTTCTTGCCTTTTTGTCACTTTAGTGGGTTTTGAGAGGGAGCAGATATAACTACATGAATTGAATTCAATGTGTTTTGTTATAATTCCGAAAGGAGGAATTTCTGTTTGGGGTAAGTTATCAACAAGGTGGACATTCATTTGTAATGCACATTTGTGCGAAAGGCTGGAAGCACATTTTAGAGGCATGTAGGGTGAGAGAGAGACTTAAGGTCTTCTTGTAAATTCTTAAATTCTTCAGTGACTTAGCAGCCAGTTATTTTGAATATTCTCTCTGGTCATAATCGGTAACTACTTTATGTTCTAGGAAGACAGTGAAGAAGTGGGCACAATGAGGGTAACCAGTTAGGACGTTGTTTTGTTGTTCATTCATTTTGTCTTATAGTTTCAACTTCCTCTTTTACTCATACTTTAGCCAGAGACTATAAAGATTTTGAGGAAAAAAACAAACCATCTTCTCAAACCATCAACTTCCTCAGTTCCTTCTCCTTCCTTCTATAGCTAAAATTCTTGGAAAAAAAACACCCTTTATTCCACTTCCCAATCCCTCATTGTTTATTCTACATTTGTCACTAAATTGTAAACTCTGAGAGCTTTATTGGTTTTCTTCACTAACATTCCCTAACTCTAGCACAGTTTCTGGCAAAGAGTAGACACTCAATACTTATTAACGTGTCTGTACTTAGCGGTTTCACACTTTTCCACTCTATTGAAGTTAATTCTGCAAAGATTACTTTTGATCTTCTAGTGTCATAGTCTTAGGTCTCTTTTGAGTCCTCAAATCTGTTCATTTTCTCTCTTTCCCCCATAACTTCTTAGATTCCATTCTTTTATTTTCCATCTACCTCTCTGACTTCATATATGCCAATTCTACACCTATATTTCAGTGAAATTCAAACCTCTTTCTTGAATTTCAAAACTATATCTTTCCCTATAGACTGTAACTTCAAAGACAGCTGAAACTTAACATGTCCTGTGTTAAATCTTCATTTTTTCTTGAAAACCTGCTTCTCTGTCTGGCCTGATGCAGCTTCTCTCTCTCCAGTCAACCAGGCAGAAACCTGGACGTTGTTTTAAACTCCTTTTTCTTCTTTCTCTATCCCTTCAGTCACCAAGAGCCATTAATCCTTCTTATTCAACATTTTTTATATTCTTTCTTCCCTCTATTCCCATAAGTACTATCTTATTCCCATTCTTTACACTGCCTTGATCTTCATTCTTTCTTGCCTGGATTTTTTTTCACTTATTTCTGAGTTGCTCATTCTGCCTCCAATCTTGAGTTGCCTTACCCCATTGCCCTCACTGCTGCCAGTGATCTTTCTGAAACAACAAAGGTTACTCCCATGGTAACACCCTTTAAAGAGTCCATGTAAGGTAAAGGATAAAACTTCAGCTATCTCAGTATAGTATACGAATTCTAAGCACTCTAACCCTTGTCTCTCAATGTTAAAACTTAGAGTTATATCTGGCTGGAGAGGCTCAGTGGATTGAGTGCTGGCCTGCGTACCAAAGGGTCACTGGTTCAATTCCCAGTCAGGGCACATGCCTGGGTTGTGGGCCATGTCCCCAGTAGGGGGCATGCAAGAGGCAATCAGACATTGATGTTTCAATCCCTCTCTTTCTCCCTCCCTTCTCCTCTCTAAAAATAAATAAATACAATCTTAAAAAAATGGAGTTAAAATGTAGTTAACTCTTGTAACTGAGGATAAGTTTGTATTACTTGTCTTATGATAGGATGGTGGTGATGGGAAATCACAATAATCTCTAAGTCCAGAGAAGGATGAAAAATAGACTGACAGGGAAGAAATCAAAGAATCCGTTCTCACACTTCACTCCCCACTGCCAGATTTTCAGTTGGCCCTCCTAGCTATCGTTTGGCATCATTTCTACCCCTTGCCAGTAGGTGCCACCATAAATGCAGACTGTACTTTCATGGATTGAGGGGCTGGGGGTCACAGGTTACATAGTTCCCTGTTGTTCAGATGTTTACAATTCTGTATTTCAGGTTTATTACACAACAACTCTTTAAGGGCACACCTGAATTGTATATATTGGACTAAATACTATGCATTTATAAAATATTGAATCTGGTTGAAATTATCCAGTGTGGAATTGTAATGTTACATTTTTCTCATTTAATAATATTTCAGAAGCATTGATAGACTTTATGTAGCACCTTTAACTATAGTTAATTATTAGAGATATAACTTATTTTATTTTTTAAAAATTTTATTTGTTTTTAGACAGAGGGGAAGGGAAAGCGAATGAGAGGGAAAGAAACATCGATGTGTGGTTGTTTCTCATGTGCCTCCTACTGGAGACCTGGCCCACAGCCCAGGCATGTGCCCTGACTAGGAATCGAACCGGCAACACTTTGGTTCACAGGCTGGCACTCAGTCCACTGAACTGCACCAGCCAGGGTGAGATATAACTTATTTTAACAAGTAGTTATCAACTTCATGAAAGATGATGAGGAAACGCCAGTTGTTCTGTATGATAAAGATTGTTGGCAATTACATTAAAGTATTACCAACCATTTGTCTTTATTTTTGCTTTCTCGTCTCTTTCAGTCAGTGTATTTGATACAAGCTTGGCGACTTAGTTGTGTTTTCCTCAGTAGCTGCAGTTTTTTCTTTCTGCTACAGGGCTCTAATGTAGTAGCCATTTAGTAGTCAGCAACTGCAATGTATCTTTCTCACCTAAGTCCTTCTATTAATGTTTATCCAGCATAGTCATAATGTATCTTCTGGGAAGTCTTGCTGAATACCTTCTTGTTCTCTTCCCTGCCCACTCAAACTCTGTACCCTCAGGATCTCACGGTATCATATGATGAATTGTGACCTTTTAAATTTTGTATTTCCAGCACTTAGCACAAATGTTTTGGTGTCATTTGAGTTAAAACTTCAGGAATTTCTAGGCCTTATAAGTAAATGAATTAAACCACTGTGTTGCTCAGCAGATATTTGAAGTTAATGGTTGGCTAGTACATAGTGAATGTATAGTGCCAGACTAGTCATAATACTGGTGCTCGGAGTATCTTGCCAGGGGTCAAAATATTGACATTGAAAAATCTCTTAAATATGGTAAAAGTCTTATAAATTATTTTATAAACAATAAAATACAATCAGTGAACTATATTATCTGTAAGATTTGAGAAGAGGGAGGCAAAGGTAACTTTTTAGGAGGGGTTCTTGTAATTACCTAAGATACTCTTTCATATTTTATTATCCTTTTGAATCTTTTCCAAAAATTTTCCATTAGAGATGAATTCCCAGAAATTGCACATAATGCTAATTGTGTTTTCATTTTGGCTCTATTTTATCCAATAACTTAATATGCTTTTAATTGAAAATTTAAAAACTAGCTGAAAAAGAAAGTGCCTGTATACATAAACAAATTCTTAGCCTCTACTGAGTATGGATGCATGGCAGACTAGGTTGGCCGATTGACCCTTCCTTTCAAAATAATTAATAAGGCTGGATAACATATCTTTTAAATGCCTTTTAAATGTATTGATGAACAGGCAAAAGCAATGAAAATACAAACAGAAATTAGGGGAAGGAAGAAAGCCAGAAAGGGAAGTTAAGAAGGGAAAGTAGCTTTTATTTTGAGAGTATTTGCTGACTCTGGTAATTTGGAGAGTCTCTTCTTATAGACAGCAGAGTTTGAGGGGACAGATGACAAAGCCCAAGGAATACCTGAGGGGAGGAGTCTGTTAAGACACACCGACCCTGCAAGGCCACCCCCTGGCTATAAAATGAATCAAGAATAAGAGTTTTAACTTGAATAAGGATTTCCTGAAAACCTACTTAAATGATAAAGTGCTTTAGCATTCTATTTGAGATTTAGAACAAGAGTTCTTGCTCTCATCATTCTTTTCAGCATAGTGTTAGATGTCCAATTCACTGTAGTAGGGCAAGAAAAAGAAATAGGAGATAAAACCATTGAAAAGGAGAAAGTACAACCCTAATTGATGATGATAAGATTTTATATATATATATATATATATATGTAACTCTGAGAATCAAAAGAAGAAGTATAGAAATTAATAGTAGAGTTAATTGGTGTTGCTGGGCACAAGGTCAATAAACAAAAAACAAATAGAAAATGTTAAAAAGCATCAAAACTATAAAGTACATAGAGTAAATCTAATAAAAGCCATACGTTCTTCCTTCCCCTCATAAGGTTCAGATATAATTTGAAAGTCAACCAGGGCTTTGTGTCCTGATCGTGATGTTACTCGAGATTTTCGTCCTCGTGAAAACCCCATTCATCCTGCTTCCCACTCATGGCTTCCGGCCTTCCCCTCCAGCTCTTGTTTGTTCCTTTTCAGGGGCAGAGATTGGGTGGTACTTAGAGATTTCTCCGTGTAGGATTACCTGTCAAGCTCAGTAATATGTTCCCCTAGATAACTAGTGTCTAGTGGATACCCCTTAAATGCTTTTGCATTGCAAATAATAATAAATAATATGGATTATAGTAAAATATATATCTTTTGTCTTAAGTGTTAAAAGCTTAAGGTTGTTGTGTGTGTTGGTGGTCAATTTACTCAACAAACGTATCAATTATTTCTGTGTGCCCAGTGTAAACTGGTAATATGAAGACTAGTTAAATATAATCCTTTCTCAAGGAGCTAATTTTTTTCCTGAAATGTATCCCAAGCTTGTCCAATGCTAAGAATTACCTGTGGCAGTTTTAAATCAATGCACCTATTTAATGTCCTTCTTTGGAGATTGTGATTCAATAGGGTGCGATCTCATGTTGATCTTTTAAGCTAATGCTGAGTATGATTCTGATGATCAGGCAAATTTGAGAAACACTGTCTAATGCACTGTTATACACATTAAGTCCCTCTGCATTTTTTCTTTTAACTTTCCCTCTCTATTTGGACCAGTTATTTAAATGTGAACAATTCCATTTCCAATGATCGTTAGGAAACCTGGCTTGTTCCCTAAAACATAAAGTCTGGCAATGGGGCCGTGAGGATAAAAACTTCAATTCATAATTTCCGTTCTGGCACCATAAAATTCACAGAGAGGTTAAGCAGCACACCCCGTGTAGAAAGTGGAGGGGCTGGGATTTGAGCTGTGATTGTTGCCCAGGCAGCCTGACTCCACATTCAGACCACGCCCCTTCTCATTGGGCACAGTGTAGCCTTTCCACCAGGGATGGAGATCTGACCTCAGAAAGGCCCCCTCGTATTGTTGCACACCTCTGATTTCTTGTAAAGGACCCAAATCCTTCCATCTGTATGTTCTTTCAGGTGTGCTTTCTAGAGCAGGAACTGTATCCCAGATTCACTCAGGTTCAGGCTTAGTATAAAGAAACAACTGAGTCTAGGTTTTTAAAAACACATGTCTATGGGTCGTAGTTGGTCCAGTCTCTGGTTTGCTGTAGATCAGTATTAACTAGCTTACTTTCCTCTTTCTTATAATACCTCTTCTCATATTATAGTGCAATATTGTGTGTTTCAGCGCAGTCTCCTTCCTCACCCCATTCTTCCCAGCCCAGAGCAGTATCTATTCTTATATAAGCTATCTGATCATTTTGAGACCCAATTTTCTCATCTGTGATTTAAGGGTAATAATAATACAGAATTGGCTTTAAGATCAAAGCCATGTGGGATTCTAGGTATTCAATGAGAGGTAGCTTTTGTTACCTTAGTTGTATCTAAAGGTACATGTTTGAAGTATAGTATATGCATAGAACTGCACCTGAGTCTTTTCATGTATAACTGAATTGTTTCCCTTTAGCTTTCAAGTGAAGGAAGAAGTAACTTACCTGGTCGAAATGACTGGCTTTTAGAAAAACTTTTTAATTTTGCTTCTAACGGTTTTCATACTTTTCTTAAATATGTTACTATTTGATTTTCAAGATCAAAGCCATATTCTCTGAAAAGTGTTTAACTCTGAGAATTGTATTTTCAAGCTCATGAGCATATTGTCATTCCTAATACCATTATGAAGGCAATTTTATTTCTATTTTCAGCATTGCAGGGGGTCGGATACTTTCCGTGATAAAGATGCAGCTGATTAAAGGCCAGAACAGCAGGGATCCTTTTCATAAAGCAGTAGAGGAAGTTGCTCAGGATTTGGATTTGAGGATTAAAAATATTATCAGTTCTCAACAAGGAGACACAGCTGTTGGCACCACTGACATCAGTCCTGCACGGGTAATGACCTTCTTATTTCTTATTATCCTTCTATATCAAATATTTTCTCTTCCCTTTGTTGTAGAAATGGTTTGCTGTTGCTGTTTAAGTCAGAAGAATGTGTTCCCTGTATCACGTTATTGAAAATTCAAGTTTCTCAATAGGATTATGTAGGATTATGTTCAAGTTGGGTAAATCATAACATCTTTGGACAAAATTGTATTTGTTAAAGTAGGGGCATAGGATAATGCTTGGTATCCCATGGATCACTAGAAATTTATAATTTTTGATGGATACTATGGTGTTTTGTCATATTTTTCAATAGTTATTTTAATGAAACATTTTCCCGTTTACTAAGATGTAAAATAAGAACTTGTTTCCTCTGGTTTGATCTCAGTGCTAGGGATGCTGTAACAGCAACAGGAATGGTTTTTCTTCCGCAGTTTATTATTTTTTTTATATAGAATTTTTCCATCTTAGTGATTTCTTATTTTCTGCCTTCATTGTCAGCCTACTGTGAACATAAAGGAATTTCTTCTATATTTATAAATCTTTTAACTATGTATTTCCTGAACATTTACCTCTGTTTTATTTTTACATAGATTTTCGAACATTATACTATTATAGGAAAAGTTGCCTACCATGTTTTTAGCTCTAGAACACAGTTTTGAAGTACGTGTTAAAATCCTCTTGTTGCGGGTAGCAAAAGCCCTTTTTCATTAGATATGATTGTGACAGCCAGTGTATGAAGAAAGATTTGCTTAATTTTTATTACTTATTTATCCACACTCCTTGGGGACTATTTTTAGATATTTTTCAAGAACAATGCATGTTTTTAGATTAATTCAATGGGAGAGATTTAGGGTCATTCCCCGTATATCCCATGTGTATTAACACTTTCTGTGAAACTTGGCTATTAACACTTTCCATTAACTTGGCTCAAGTGACAGCCAGGTTATTACTGTCAGTATAAATAAGGAATTTTCACAGCTCAGATAACTAAGAGCATCAATCACTTCCATTTCCAGTCACAAGAAATAAAAGTGCAAACAACCTGGCTTTTTTCTTTTTCATTGTTTTTCAGTTACAGTTGTCCTGCCTTTTCCCCCATTGCTCTCCCCTGCCCCATCTCCCCCGCTCCCACAGTCCATCCCCTCCGTTGTCCAGGCCTGTGAGTCCTCTATTCATGTTCCTTTGTTTGCCCTTCCCTTTCTTTCCCTCTTATCCCCCTTCCCCTCCCCTTCTGGCCACTCTCAGTTTGTTCTTTATTCCATGTCTTTTGTTCTATTTTGCTCATTTGTTTGTTTTGTTGATTAGGTTCCACTTATAGGTGAGATCATATGGTATTTGTCTTTCATCACCTGGCTTATTTCACTTAGCATAATGCTCTCCACTTCCATCCATGCTGTCTAGAAGTATAGGAGTTCCTTCTTTCTTTCTGCTGTGTAGTAATTCAATAATTCTCAGTAAAGTTAATATTAAACAATAGGGACTTACTTGGATCTAATGAAAAATATATAGGTTAAGCACCAGATTGTGATAGTTAATTGGCTAAAATTCCATTGTAGGTATGCATTATAGTTTGCTGGCAGCCTGAGCCTCAGCAAAGTAGGGACAGGAGTCTAAGACCATGTAGGCGAACGTTGAGGAATGTCCCAGGTAGGGCAACTTTGATTCCTAGGCACAATGTCCAACAACCCTATTGGTTAGGCATTATAATTACCCCTGTTTTACCAGGATTTAATTGAAGCTCATTGAGGTTAAACAGCTTTCCCAGATTTATACAGCACATATAACCAGTAAGTTGGTATCCATGTTAGGCCGAAATGTCTTCAGAGTTTGTGCTTACATGTATCTATATATATTTTTATTATCATATATTGCTTATTTGTCTGTCTAGTCACTAAATTTTTCCTGGTCTCCTCTTTTAATCTGCTTTTTTCTAATCTTCACTGCTACTATCTTCTTTTTTTTTTTTTTTTACATTTTTATTTTTATTTTTATTGATTATGCCATTACATTTGCTCTATTCCCCCCTCCCTTCCCCTCCACCCTGCATACCCCTCCCCCACCATTTCTCCCTTTAGTTCATGAACATGTGTCTCAATTTCTTTAGATTCTGTATTTCCCCTACTATTCTTACCCTCCCCCTATGTATTTTCTATCTACTGTCTATGCTACTTATTTTCTGTACCTTCTCCCCCCTTCCCCTCCTCCCACTCCCCTATTGCTAACCCTCCCTGAGATCTTCATTTCTATGGTTCTGCTCCTGATCTAGCTATCCTCTTAGTTTGCTTTTGTTTTAGGTGTGGTTCTTAATAACTGTGAGTTTGCTGTCCTTTCACTGTTCATCTTTTTTATCTTCTTTTTCTTAGGTAAGTCCCTTTAGCATTTCATATAATAAGGGCTTGGTGATGATGAACTCCTTGAATTTGGTCTTATCTGAGAAGCACTTTATCTGTCCTTCCATTCTAAATGAAAGTTTTGCTGGGTAGAGCAATCTTGGTTGTAGATCTTTGGTTTTCATGACTTGGAATAGAAAGAGGTATTGCTACTATCTTCTTCAGTTCTAATCTGGACCATTACAGTCTTTTCATTTGTCATTCTATCTTCAAATTTATAACATTCTTGCCATGGAATATATTTTACACATTGCTATCATTTTTCTAAAATCTAAATAGTATCATCTCTTTGCTTAATAAACTAAGAGATTTTTTAACTCTCTAACAGACTGACTTATAACCTTTGCCTGATACACAAAAGCTTTCCCAGGCTCATCTCCCATAACTCCCTCTCTGTTAACCTGTTCTTTGGCCGTATCATACTACCTGGTCCCTGAAGGGGCCTTGCTGTCTCCTACTCTTGTGTGTCTCCTCCTCCATGAAGCCATCCTTGATTCCAGGGTAAATTGATCACTCCATTTTGTGAGCTCCCATTGTACCATGTATACATTATGTTAGACATAGCACTGAGTCTGGGCAGTGCAGTTATTGCTCACTTACTTGTTTTATCAAGGAGACTGTGGGTTACTCGGGGCAGTGGTTTTTACCTTGGTGGACTTAGCTCCAACTGCAGTGGTTGGGATTTCGTACCCAGTTGTCAATGATTACTGAATGAACGGATGTCAACTAGTTTTTCATTTTTGCTTTTGAGTAGATCTTCACAGACATCTTTGGGGTTGGTAGTTAGATCACCAGAATCCCATCTCTGTTTGGTGTAAGAGAGAAAAAATACTCAGAGAGTTAAGTCATGGGGCTGAGGTCACGTAAGCTAGGAAGTAGCTAAATTTTCTGACTTTAAGCCTACCATTATTTTGAACAGAACCTAATGTCTTCCTGTTTGATGATACTATATTTTGTATTCTTTTGTGCTTCTGGAAGTTTTTATAAGATTGATTTTAGTATGGCTGGAGTGAGAAATACTCACATGCCTGAAAGCCACTACTCATGGCTGATCTTATTTTAAACAACAGAGGAGGAAGGAGAACAGTGGCACATGAAATGGAAAAGAGTGGCTGATTGACACAGCCGGGGTGATTGTAACGTTTGCTTAGAATTGTTTTTCGTTCTAGCCAAAATCTTATGCCATAAATCATGGCACTGCATACTGTGGCAGAGATACTGTGAAAGTTCTACTAGCTCTTTTGGATGAAGAAGCAGCCAGTGCTCCTACCAAAAACAAAGCAGAGCTTTTATATGACGATGAAAACACCATTCATCATAGTGGAAATTCAATTCTTACACTTTTTAGGTAAGTAACGTGGAAGTTGTGTGCATGTGAATGTTAGCTCTAGTCTCTAACGGGAGTTTGTGAAAAAGCACTTCATTGATTTTAAAACAAGAACATACTGTTTTTTATAGTCTCCTATTATAGTAACTACTAAACTGCTACTGTGGTCTACCATAGTAAGGAAACCTGGAGACTACAGAAAAGTAGGAAGAGAGAAAACAAAAATTAGTTACAAGGAGATTGAACACTTCAATGTGAGGGAGTTATGTATAAAAAGGTAGTGCTTTGTGAGAGTGTGACAGGTTTTTTATTTTGGTTTTGTCTTTTTGTTCTTGTTTTTATTTTCCCTTTGGAAATATTTACTGTGTTTGCTTTGCTATGTGTGTCAAGAACTTTGCTAAATATTTTCACTCGTATTGTCTCAGCCTTCATAGCAACCTCTTTTAGTAGTATCCTCACTTTGTTTGTTTTTATCCTCACCAGAGGACATTTTTTTTCATTGCTTTTAGAGAGGAAGGGAAAGAGAAAAACATCAATTGGTTGCCTTCTGTATGCACCCGAGACCAGGGCTTGAACCCTCAACCTAGATATGTACCCCAACCAGAAGTTGGACCAGCAACCTTTTGGTTATAGGACTGTGCTCCAACCAACTGAGCCACACTGGCCAGGGCGATAGTATCCTCACTTCTTAAGTGAAGAATCAGTGGTTTTAGAGAGGTATTTAGTAGTGTGTCCAAGAGAGCTAAGTTAGTAGGCAGCAAATGTGTTTTCCTCTGAAGCCTGAGATCTCTACTCCAAGGACTGTGCTATTCTGCCTGAGAAAAGGAGAGAGTGTAACACTGAGCTTCCATTGGAATTGGCATTTGCTGCTTCTTCCTCATATTATGAAGAAAATTACTAAATTAACATTGGTATTCCATGTTAATTTAGTATTGATATTTTCCAGGACATTGATATTTTCCAGTTTTAACAACGGTTAGGTCAAAATTGAGTAGCTTGGTGATGTTTTTAATTAATGAGCATTCATTTTAGAAACATCAAACATTTTAGAACATTTAAATTGTGTTTGGTACATTGTGGAGAATTTTTACAAAGTCTTCCTACCATTTGATATTTTTTATTTTCTGCTTGAGCTGCTTTTTAGAAATCTCATTTTAGTCTAAAATTGTTCAGACACAACCATGCGTGATGGCTTCTCATAGTCTCTCTCCTGTGCCTCGTTGTCCTTTCTCTTTAAAGAGAAACATTAATGATCTATAATTCAGTTTTATCCTGTAGTTTCTTTAAATCTTATTTTCTTAACCAGCTTCCCATGTTTATCCTTTTATGTCTGGACATAATATAATTCTTTCACATTCTACCTTAAAAATGCCCCAATTTCCTAACAGTGGAAATTTATTTTATCAATGATTTACTTATACCCTGTGCTGGAATCCCAGACATGAGCATAAAGAAAATAGATCTTTTTTTTTTTCTCTGTTACCTTCTGTTCAACCTAAAAGTTTACTTTTTAGGTAGAAATATGAATGGTTTAAATATTCTCTCATTTAATCCTTCCGTTTTCTTAGAGAAAGTTATTTTGTGTTAATAGAATATTTTTAAGCCAAAACTAATCCCCACATCCATTTTAGAGAGCTATTTTTCTGTATTGAATCACATGACAAAATACATTTTAATTGTTTACAGTTTACCTTGGCACTTCCAATTGCCATTGCGCAGACAGGTACCTGTCCATGGTAAAGTAAATTCTTAATGGTCTTCATTGAAATGATAAAATTAAGGACATTGATATATGAATATAAGTTAATATAAGGTTATAAGCTAGCATTTCTTAGAATAGACTGTCCTTTATTCTTACATAAGAGTCTTTTGAGTTGAAAGGGTTATAACTGGCTCTGGACCCAAAAAGGGGTCCAGAGGAATTTCCTGAGGAATCCACGTCTGTCTGGGCCCACAACTTTGGTGTTGCCCTCTCTACTATGCCTTCTCTAACTCTTCTATGTAGAAACTATGTTTTTCTCTTTTGAATTCCTCTGCTATGGCACTTGTCCTTTTTTATGTTGAATTTTAGTTAAATAGATATCTTACTTTTTTTACCTAGACTTCATGATGCCCAAATTCAGGACCAGTGAATGCATGAACTTTCTGTTCTCCACATCATGTTATACAGTGCTTTCCTTACATGTGGTAGAAGCTCAAATGTCTAGTGACTGGATTCATTAAGCAAATTATTAATATTGAGAACTGTCAGCATAGGGATACTGATATTTTTATATAGTATTATAAACAACTAGATTCAGTTGTCTTTTATTCTGTAACTGCTTTTGGGTTGGGGAGGAGTAAACACTAGGCTTGAAAAGCTACTTTGGTTTATAAATTTTTGCTTTATTTGGACGTAGATCTCCCATACAAGTGAATAACTCATTGGTGAAACCACTAAGAGAACGCATCCATAAATCAATGGAAGAGAAAAAAATTAAGGTACAGTTTAATGTATTGTCATGAAAATGGTAGAAATTGATTTATTTTTTGAAGAAATATATAAAACAGAGCTGGTTATGGTAAATATAAATTGTGCACGGAACAATAGGAATTAAATGGAAAATGAATTATGACAGTTGACATACAGAAATTTTTCTTTTATATAATCTTGGCCAATCTGTTTCTAGCTTATTCATTTTGCTGGATCTAAAAAGGAAAGGAATAAGCCCCTGCTATAAATGTTCAAGAAATATCTGTTCAGTGAATGAAGGAGAACATAACGGAACATGTTTTCTCATTTACATTTCTATATCTTAAACCGAATTTTGAGAGACTGCATAATTTGTTTTCTTTCCAGCTAAAGACATAATGGCAGAATATAGTTATTTGTAGATTGAGATCAGGAGAACATTTGACATTGTTCATTGACTAGAACTACTCTTCATATTTTCATTTGGTTTAGATGAAGTTTTCCTGTTCTCACTTGAAACATGTGTGCCTATAAGTAGTCAGTAATGTGGTGTTCAGTGTTTATTTGTTTGGTTTTATTTTTCAAAATGAAACTTGATCTTAAATCATTCATTTATTCAACATATATTTATTATCTACTATGTGTCAGATACTCTTCTATGGCAGGGAATTCATTCATTTGTTTAACAAGATGTTCATGTTAAATTTACAGTGATTCTAAAATTGCCTAATACTTATTCATTTTGATACAACTTTGAGAACTCTAATTTGTATGTTCTTTATATTCCCATTTGGAAAGTAGTTACAATTAGCAAAACTTTTAGTTATCTCTATGTCACCTACATATCCTAACCCCGTTTAGTTTTTTTTATATGTGTTAGTAAGTCTTTCTATTGATTATTAATAGTTGCTAATAACTGATAGCTGTGGAATACCTCATTGGGCTTTATAAAATTTTTCTGATAATAAAATGTCAACACTTTGCAATTAACTGTTAGTACTTGTAGTTAAGGCATGAGATTTTTAAAGAAAACATCTATTCTTTAGACTTGATTAGAGACAGAAATGTAACATGTAAATTTAAAAATTTTTTTCCTGCTATTGATACTGATAGACTTCAATATTTTCATTTAAAGATTATTGAGGTAGTATGTTAGAACTAAGTAAATGAAAGTGAAAATACCTATCTGAAGAATGAGAAGGGATTTTCTTTCAGAAATTTGTAAGAGTCAGCTAATCACTATAAAATGTATAGTGTAGACAAATTTAATATATAGAGAAATTTAGAAAGTTTTGGAAAGCAGAAGAGAGACTGTCTAATCCAGTCTCATTTACAGATGAGGAAACCAACATTCTAAGAAATCACATTATCCAAGATCTTATAACTATCATGAAATATTTTATGCCAGCGTGCAAAGCCATGGTTAGCTGTCAATGGGATTATATAACTACATTGCTTTTGTTACTTAACAGTGGAGCTGGCTTAGTCTATATAGCTCTAATAAATGGCAATAAAGAAATGAAAGAATTGGTGTTTATGATTCTATTTTTATAGTACAGTATCCTTTATAAAAGCAAAGTGTGAAAATACTTGATTTAGCCAGGTATATAGCTGAACCATAGCCAGGTAGAGTACTTGTTGGAATAATAAAAAATTGTTGCTAATAATTGCAACTAAGTAACTATGGAAAAGTAGTTTAACAGCTAATTACCCTGTTATCCTATTACTTTTGCTCTTTTGGCATACAATTTTTTTTTTGTCATGGCAAGAATGTATGATCTATATTTAAAATGCAGTCTTGGAAAGATCACTGTGAAGGTAGGAAGTATTAAGGAACTTAGAATGATGATGTTGTAGTGGGTACTTGATTATGAAATGTTAGTGTCATTGTAGGGAGCAAATTAACTTTTTTTAGACTCTTGTTTCCTTATTCATAAATAGAAATGGATACTCCTGAACACAAAATTCTATGAAACCATTATGGAAAGTGTTTATTAAACATATTCACTTTCAGTCCTCAAGTTTTATGTCCTACTGTAGCTTATTAGAAAACTTGTCTGTTGTGGTCAAGTAAATTTTCCCGTGAAGGGAATCAGAGGGTTCTTCCAGAATCTTCATGGCTTTGATAGAAATCTTTAGAAAATGTTTTCTCCCTATTTTTACCCCCAATTTCCAAGCAATTTATACAAATATCCTTATATCTTTTTATTAAAAGACTTTTTGGAGAGATACTTACCTCCTTATGTCTCCAGATAAATTCATTTCATTCCTTCCAGCTGAGTTTAGCAGTTTTTGCACATCGGGCACAACTGAAAGGTCAACTATACAGGCCTTTTCCTTATCCTCCTATAGTATATGTATGTCAAAATAATCATCAGTGTTAGCTGACTTAATAACTTAAGTGAGCTGGTCAGGAAAATACTGGAATAAATACCATGGAGTGATCTCAGGAGTGAAAATTTGGACGTAGGTCGTGTAAAAAAATTGACTGCTATAACTGGTACTCTCAAGCTGCCAGGCAGGCCAATGCTCATGATGTTAGAAAATTCTTAAGTATGTATCTGAGTTTAACCTTTAGGGTATTAGAAAACTCTGAGTATGTCCAAATTAAAATGGTGGACTTAGGTCAACTCATAGAATTTCCCTCCTTTTAAAATGACACTTAAAATGAGTAAAGAATAGTAAAACCTAGCAAAAATGTTTGCCAACAACAAACAACAAAGGATAATGTAATTAGATATAATAAACTTCAACAGCTATGGCCAAGGAAAGAAACTGAAGACTTCAGAGTGAAGGAGTGCGGCGTGACTTAGTGACTTAATCTGGCTTCAGTACCCAAATATTGTTCAAGTGACTTGGCAGAATCCTGAGAATTATCACTAATATATCCACATCCGAGGAGCCACCTGCGTTTGTGTGTTCTTGCCTCGTTTTGCTTTCCTTTTCTGTCAGAGAAGTAGTAGCAGTGGTGACGGTGGAATAGGAAAGTGGATAAAATGTGGAAAATGAACCCTGGGACTCACACCCTAGTGTGACATACTGAATTGGGGGAGATATCCGAAGGCTCCCCTCTCATTTGAAAGAAAAACAGCCCCTGAGCAGGGTGAGCAGACCTTCTTAGAATACATGTAACGTGTAATAAACCCTTAGAAGAGAGTGCAGAACCCAGAAACTTTTTTCAAGCTGTGTTATCCTCTCAGCCGAACCCCTCTTGTGCCTCTATCATTCCTCAGGCTACAGAAAAGTGAGGGATAACAAACTGTGTGGCATCAAAATATAACAGAGGAGAAAATAAAATGCTCTCAAAGAAGGAGGGATCAGAATCAAGAAATCACTCATAGATTTGAAGGCTTCTGTTCCTAATGTGGATATAGTAGGCCATAGCAGGATACCTTTTGTGCTGCAATAACAAAATAAATGGCAGAAAATGGGGACATATATTTTAAAGGCATAGGAAAGCTATGTAATCAAAGCAGTTTAAATAAACTAAAAATCTGGGGAGAGTAAAGGTCTTCCGAGGTGAGCTGGCTGTTATCAGCTATTTCTTCCCCGGGATTCTTTGCCAGGTCTGGGTGTGACCTGAAGGTTAGTGTTGGCCTGTGCAAAGGAACTCTAGTGGAAAAGAGGAAGCAACAAAACTCGAGTGTCTCGAGGGGTTGGCAACAGTTTGGGAACTTCAAGGGCCCTAAATGCATACTTATTTTGACCTAACATACATGCGCCGAGTTTTTGGAGCTGTGAGTGAGGCCGAGGAGCCTCAGTCCAGTTCCTGACATCAGCTGTGGCCTTGAGGTGCCTAGAAGACAAGGCTCTGCTGGAAGAGCAGGGCCTGCCTGAAACACGTGGCTGTCTCCTTGCAATATTTAGACGTGGAGTGAGGTGGAGGGCCAAAGAGCACATGTCAAAAACCTCTGAAGGACAGACTGAATCCTCCACACTTTCAGGTCAGAGGTCACAGAGATGCACAGGCTCTCAGATGGGAGCCTGGGAGGGACATTCCTGGGGAAGACGTGAGCGCCAGAGCTGGAACGCAGCTCAGCCCTGACTGCATGGAGGTTGTCAGTCCTTTACTGTGTCCTCCCGGTGGATACAAGGGAAGCCCTTCTCCGTAGAAGAGGACTTCATCTGGAGCCCACACTGTTCCTTTGTAAACAGTATCCAGCTGAAATGAAACGTGCTGGACATGAGAAGAGGAAGGAAGGTTTGTCTGTTAGTCAGGAGGAAAAACTAACAAATGATCCAGATATTAGAATTAACAGACAAGGAATGAAAAAATTTTCAACATGTAAAACAAATAAAATGGTTGAAAAATCGGAGAATTCTAGCAGAGAATTAAAATCTATAAAACAGAATTCAAATAGTCATTTCAGAACTGTAAAAACATCTAAAATTAGGAACTCATTAGATGAGTTTAATAGTAGATTGGACATAGCATTAGGTAGCATAAGTGGATGTACAGAGGTCATTAGAAAAATCTTCAACCTAAAGTGAAGAGAAAATACAGAATGAAAAAAACAAAAGAGAAGAGTAGGCACAGAGAACAAGTCTAACATTTGCCTATGTGGAACTCCAGAAGAAGAAGAGAAAATGGAAACAATATATGAAGATATAGTTATTGTAAATTTTCCCAAAGCGTAATTCCTTTCACATCAGGTAGTAGTTACAAGACATGGGCAACACATGTAAGGTTTCCTTTACTGAGACGGAATTGCAGATGGGTTCTACTATTATGGACCCAGCGAGCAAACATGTCCCAGAGTCCCCTGAGAAGCCATCTGTAGCACATGAAAGGGCCACAGGACATAGAGTGCAGAGGTTTTTTCCCAGAGCAATGCTTTCCCATAGAACTTCCATTTTCTGTGGTTCTGTGTTTGTGCTACTCTGTAGGTGGTGGCCACATTCGCCTACTGAGCGCCTGCAATGGGGCCACTGCAGTTGAGGAACTGGATTTTTAATTTTGTTTCAGTTCTTGGAATACATGTTGCTAGCCTATTGAAACAATCGCAGTTCTGGTAGATTAGAGATACCT